CAGCAACGTGTTAAGATGATCATTATAAACAACGAAACATTTTTTTTTTATTTAACTTTAAACCTATAAAGCGATAACTTTTTTCTAAAAACAATATCTTATTAAACAAAGGATTATTATTTTAATCATTATGAAGCTTAATATATATCCCATCGATTTAAATATCATATTGTTCGAGAATTTCAACGAATAAACTTATTTGATAATTATTCAAGATATCAAATTTCTTAATTAATCTATAATGCATGAAGGTATCCTATGATACGAATGACAAAGAGTCTTGTCCTGTCAAGTAAGAAAACATAAGTTTAGACATATTCTATTACTTAACGTCATATCGTCCTAATTTTCAAGACGGATACACAATTGATAACATTTTTAAATGAATAACGGCAAATTTAACATTTTCGCGTACACGAAAGACTTTTTAAAGGTGTAACGAAGCGTTTCATCACTTCTACCCTTCTCTCCTGTTCTCTCTCTCTCTCTCTCTCTCTCTCTCTCTCTCTCACATGACAATGACATAGAGAGCGTACGGTTTTTTTTTATTATCCAAAAGTAAAAATAATAATCGTGAATGAAAGTGACTAATAAAATGTAACCATAAAAATGGAACTGTTATTATGCATTATTTTGATCAAACTTAAAACATGTAAATACATAGATACGTGTAGACTAACGAGACTAACCGATACTGGAAACCGCTGCTAAGAGCCCATACATCACACTCCATTATGTTTTCTACATCGGACGAATGACGTTGTCTTCTCCGTTCCTCCGAAATTCGAAACCATGTCGAAAGGGATAAGGGTGATACTATGTCGTGTAAAGAGGTAAGGATAAAAAAGGAGGGGGTGAAGAAAAGAAAACGTACGAAATGGCCGATGCCTCTCTCTCTCTCTCTCTCTCTCTCTCTTGTTTTCGTTTCCACTTATTCTCTTTCTTTCCTTTTTTTGTTGCAGTATGTAAGTACACGTACATATGTATGTACATATATGTATGTACTTGGTATATCGAAATAAGATAAAAAGAATATTCTACCACTAAAAATCGAGGATCACCAGTTGTCGATCAGGCGCCAAGGACGCACTTACAAAGCGCTATCGTCCTCCAATATTTCATCTTTGTCCTCTTTCGTTGATATTCTTACGCTCATTCTAGTCTCGTGGGATTGCTTGAAAGAAAGAGAAAGAGAGAGAGAGAATTCTATTATTTCATTCCGTACAGATCGTTACTCTTATTGTCTTTATCGATTATTGTACCAAAGTCTAATGTAAGAGAAATTTTCAAATTGAGGAATATACGTATTCTCGCCCGCAAATTATCTTGTTTTGCTCGCTGTTTCATAAGAAAAGAAGAAAAAAAAAGAAAGGGTCAAGGATAGGAAGATTTTAAAAGTAAAAAATGTTAAAAGTAATTAACGTCGAAAAATATTGTCAAAGTGCAATTAAAAAAACAAACGATATATTTAATTTAACATATCTTTAATTTTAATAGCGCAAAATAGTATGTTATTTCTGAGAAAAAGTATGTTATTAAGAAAGAGTAGTTTCGTCGCTATATTAATACAATTTCTTGAAATTTTCTTGGAACGGAAATTGTTCAACAAACATGCACAGAGCATGCATTTCCGTCTGTAGATAAACTCAGTCTCTAAAATAAAGATCTTATTGGAACTATAGAGAAGATGATCCTTTTACAAGGACGAGCGAGAGTAAGAATAAAGAAAAAAATAAAATAAAAAAATAAAATAAAACTAACAAACTTTCAAGAACGAAACACGTACTCCTTGCCGTATTTTCAGTATCACTGCTCCGCCATGCGAGACGACATAACTACGGAGCATTAATGTCTCATCGATCCTCAGCTTTTTTGCGGGAACGTTTCTCGAAAGCACGAGATCGAGAATGATTCTTCTTACGGCTATTGTATCCCGATACCGTACTTCACGTTGCCTGGACAGTTATCGTCTTTTTCCACGATAATGGTGATACGACGATATTGAAACGTTCGAAGACATAAATCAGAATGAATTAAAAGCAAATATCGCTCGTTTTGACCCTTTCCAGCAAGATGCCCAATAGTACAGCGACCAATAACAGAAAGAGAAGCACTTAGATCGTTTTATGCATACTGCATATATCTATTATATTATATTTCTAGTGCATAAATTCTTCGATACACCATAAACATATGTATTCATACATTTTTGTTCTCTCTCTCTTTCTCTTTATATAATATCTTTCCATTTGAATCACACTTACGAGTTACTTTCTGTGTACCAACTTCGCATAGATAGTGCTTACCACTTAATGCCTCTCCGATATCAAGATTGAAAAAAGGTTCTCTTTTTCTTCTTTTCTTCGATCGCATGATTGTTTCCAAGCAGACAAAAAGAAACGCTTATCGGTAAAAAGAGTTTACCTATAATCCTCATTCTAAACAATTTAAACAATTAATATTTACCTTTTTGTTTCGATTTTCAAAACGATTGAAATATTACTTATTACGTTTTATTTAACTATTTTCAATTTTAACGCAATTATCTTCTTCTTCTTCTTCTTCTTCTTCTTCTTCTTCTTCTTCTTCTTCTTGAAGATAAATTGAACAAAATAAATGCCTACAAAGATTTTAATAAATTGTTTAAATTTATGTAAAGTTTTCAGCGACGAACAAGAAAAAAATCGAGGATAAAAGGAAGTACAATCTTTCGCCGTTATTTCTTGATTTCATTTTTCATCAATTTCAAATCTTTATCTCTGGATAAAAATATGCTTCCACACCGGACACAGATACCAAAACCAAAGCGAACTGTCCTATCCAAGACTGCATTGTATCAAATAAAAAGAGAAAAAGAAAAAGTGAGAAAGAGAGAGAGGAAGAAGGAAATGGAAAGCAGAAAAAAAAGGAAAAAAAGAAAACAGAACACCGGAAAAGCGTACGGAAAGTCATACATATCTTGTTTTTTCTATTTCACTATTTCTCTTTCCCTCTCTCTCTCTTTTTTTTTGTTCTCTCTTCTTCTCACCTTTCTTTAACTTTTATAGCGAATAGCGTCAGTACGCGAGGCATTAAGCTTTTTCTATTTTCTTTTTCTTTTTCGAAGACGAGGTAAAGGAGTCGTATATAGGCCGCTGACGATGACGACGAAGACGACGACGTGTGTAAGGGAAACTCGAAGTCTCGGCGGAGAGCTTCGAGAGATATAACAGGCAAGCAAGGCAGACAGGCAAGCAGGCAGGCAGGCGGACTCCGTATGTGTATAAAGAGAGAAAGAAAGAAAGAAAGAAAGAGAGAAAAAGAGAAAAAGAGAGAGAGAGAAAGAGAGAACAAGAGAGTAAGAGCAGACGTGTCGCGTCTTTGGATTCTCGCAAAGACGGACGGTATAAGTGCACACTCTTTCTCTCTCTCGCACTCGTTCAGTCTGGCGCACTTAAAAGGTTAAGCGCGTAGTCGGGAGGCCGGCAGGTTGAATATCTCGGTGGTGCTGCTGGCGTCCAGCGACAGCAACGAGTCGCGATGGCTGAGTTGAGGCGCGTCGTAGTGGGGGACAGTGTGTGTGCGCGCGCGCGCGCTCGAGTAAGCGAGCCAGAGAGGTCAAAAAGAGAGTACTGACTGGTTGGCGGGGGTAGAAGGCGGAAGGCAGACGGGCGGCAGACAAACCCGTGCTTATCCCCACCGAACGAGCAGCCCCATCGGTCCGTGACTCACCAAACCGTTAAGGGATGAAGCCGCCCTGCTTTTACTCTACGCGCACACACGTGTAACAAGCATATATCTTTCTCTTTCTCTTCTTCTCCCTCCATCTTTCTCTCTTTTTCTCTCGTTACACGGATCTCTACCACAAGTATTTTACTACTGCATCGTGTCTCGTGTAATCCTTCCCTTTTCTACCTATCCTATAGTTTACCCTCGTCTACTATACACACGTGTATATACTATCTACACATACGTGTCGACGATATACACTTCTATTTATACGTCTATAGAGACAATGAAACGGGTGTGAAAAAATATACCTACATATGTTTATACATACAAACGTATGTGTAGCTACCATAGCTCCTAACCGCGCATACGATCTCTTCAACCCCTGTTGAGACTTTTCATTTAAACCTTGCTCGTTGGCGGTTCCGACAACCACGGACTCTCCTCCTCTTTATGCAACGACAAAAATGTTTCTCTTTCGTAACTCGTAATTATTTCAAGACATACCAACGTCATGTCTTATGTACTTGGGTATATACTACATAATATGTAAGTATGCATATACGGTCTCGGTCCTTGAACGTGAAGTACATCGCACTCATTTCTTTCTCTCCTTCTCTCTCTCTCTTTTTCTTTCTCGCGTGTCGTCTAGTATGTGAACGCACTCACCAACACGACGTTGGTGATGATTGTGGGAAGGGGTTGTAACGCATTACACGACATGAGCCCACTCCGACCTGGCAGTGTACTGCAATTGGGTGGGGTGAGCGTGTGCGAGGGTGAACATGCCGGAGGGAATAAACGAGGAAAAAAAGAAAAGAGAAAAAGAAGAGCGAGAGAGCGAGAGAGAGAGAGAGAGAGAAAGAATCAGGACTGGTGGCGTCCAGAAAAATCACTCTGACCACGACGACGTCGACAGCTATGACATTTTTATGCGCACATACGAACATGTGATTAAATTTCGCGTAAATTGCTATGCGCGCTGAATCTTCATAATTGTCCGCGAATGAATGAATGGAGATGATAGAGGTGAAAGAAAAAGACGACAATTTCAATAAAATCTTCGTCAATGTTCTTATCTTATTATCTCGATTAAACAAAAAATATAATTAATATTTTAAAATACATGTAAAATTAAAACATATGAATGTATAAAATAATTGAATGCATAATTGTGCATAAATTCAATGAAATGTATCTTTTCTTTCCTGTATGGAAATGAGCCGATGATGGTTTCGCAACGTCTAATGTTTTGTTATAATTATGATAATCGATTACGTTGATGGTTCTAGGGCGTAAGCTGAACAGTCAACCATTACTAGAATTTCCACTGTCCAGCGGCGAACAGGCATTAGAGCCTCTCAGGATCAAACGGGCGACCCTTTGGACACGAGTAGAATACAGACAAACAAGTAATTATCAGTATCAACAAGATCGTCAGGGTCAAAGCAATCAAAGGAACATCACTCTCTGGGTATTTAGGGTGCATTGTGGCAATACAACGCATTTGCGCGGCAAGGTAATTAAATTTTACGATGAACGGGTATTTTTATGTTTAGTATATTTTGCTCTTTTCTAATTTATAATTAAATTTACGAAGCGTAAGGAGGAATACGCAATAATGCAATTTTTGCAATGAAAGCTTTCGATAAAACTATAAAAAAGAAGAAAACATTTAAAAATAAAGGATAGAATTAGAGGTGTTAACATAATTTCTTCAACTTAAGATCGAAACGTTAACCAATGAAAGCTCATTTAAGCCCACCTTTAGCAACTACTCTCGTTTGTTTCACTACCAAGATATCGATACGTTACAAGGGAAAAAGATTTCTACCTCTTTTATCGGATTTTTCCGACACTAATCCCATCTACTATCTCAAGCTGTATTTATAATAATCCCTCCGATATTATACGCAGCGGTCGTGAGGTTTCGTTCGAGCGTACAGCTTCCGCGATATCGTTTGAAAAATAATATTTTCTTGTTTACTCTCACCCACAGTCGAAATATAATATATTTTGACGACATATCGATCCTTATTCGACCGATCGATAGATAAATTTTCGTTAAATTACAAATAAAATATTACTTTTAATGAATTAACTTATTAGAATTGATAAAATAAACAAATTAATCGTTCAATTTTTAGGAACTCGGGGCGCATCTCGAAATGGTGACGTACTTAGGCGTGAACGTTGGTCAATTGGGCTGGCAGAAGTTCGACGTAACACAGGTCGTCAGCAATTGGTACACAGCTAACGTGAATTCACCGAGGGATAAACTAACACTTTTAGTGGATTGCACAGGATGTGGCAAGAGCGTTCACGTGTCGACCTTCGCCGTGCACTCGCCACACGTGATCGAGTCCTCGTTAAATCCAAAAGGCAAGCAGAGAAAAATATCTGATGCTTGAAAACACGCTATTCGAGAACACTCTACTTGATAAAAATCGAATTTTTTCAGTACGACAGATAACTTTGTATTTTAATTAAACGTCGCGATAATATAACAAAAAAAAAAATTCTATAATACATTTTTTTTAAACGAAGAGTGTAAGAGATCAAAAGAAATAAAAAGAAAAAAAGAGGAATAAATGAAATTCAATCGCAAACATCTATGAAAGATAACCTTATTTCGATTCAGTATCATAACACAAAGCTACTACGAAGTCGTACCGGTTAATATGGCTTCCATAATATAAAGACTGGTCACATAAAGTTGGGAGGTGATACAATGGAAATAACATTTAGCCTGTATTTGTATCGCTGGTAACTAATTTAAGAAGACATATTGGGGTTAACGAACGCGTTTGATTCTTTCTATATGATAATTTGATTCCATGGATTCGTTGGGATCGAGCATACTCGTCTTTCTCTTGCTTCCGCACCGCACTTTCAATCCCTTTCGTAGCATTAGTATTCTAGGTTGCTACATTTCCGTGATATATCCGCGTACGAAATGGTGCTATATATTTCGCTATATATTTTCGATTATTTGGATGTTATGTGTATACTTTATCGATTGTCTTGCACCAATACTTACTTGCACTTGAAATCATTCTTAATTCAAAATTCTAATTTCTTGTTTCTAATCCAGATAACATCTAGTAATTATTGAAGTACGACTAATTAGGTAGAAAGATCTGTTCGCTTAGTATTAATAATTTACATTATTTATCAAATATTAAACTGTAAGCGATTAATATGTCAAATATTTAAATAACTAATTTGTGAATGAATCTTATACCTACTTTATATCGTTTTATCTTAATCTTTATTGAGATTTGCGAATTAATTTGAGGTAGAACTGTAAACTTCTAACATAATCGTTAATTAAAACGAGAGTGTCTCGGATATTTTATACATACGCACATACATACATACATACATACACGTGGAATGTGACAAACCGAGCACGCTCCAATATAATCAGCTTTATTTCTTTGGTTCCCTTTATCAGCTTACCTAATCGGCTTACTTCTCACCGACGTATAACCGCGAACGATTAAAATTTTTTGCTTCCACGACACGACACTCACACGATCGAGTTTTTTCGATCAGTTTCGTTAGAGTTTTTTATGTTGTATGAGGAGAGAATAGAAAAGAATATTGGAAAGGGACATGAAAATAAAATTTTCTTTTTCTAAAAAAATAAAAAAAGATCGTTTATTTCGAATAATGAGTATTTAGATGTGCATTACACTAAGGTATGATTTTTAGTACTTCTCGATAATCATAAATTTCCTAGATAGTTATACCTAATCGTTGTTGAATTTCATCATAATCGTCAAACATTTCTTTCATAAAAATAATAAGCCGTTTTTCGGTAACATACAATAGATAATTCCAAAATCTAGATGATACGTATCAAAAAGATAGTTTTGGAAGAAAAGAGTTATCAACAATTCGACAAAATGTTCAAATTGTTTCTGTTTGTCATCAATAAAATGGAAAAATAAATGAATCTAACGTTGATTTTAACATGGATTGCAGATGATCAAGATCCTGACAGGCCTTTCCTCGTTGTACGCACGGATCCAGCGGCTGTGAAACGCGTAAGAAGACGAGCGATCGAATGCAACAGCGCGATAAAAGGTCAATGCTGCAAACAAAGATTCTACGTTAGCTTTTCTCAACTCGGATGGGACGATTGGATAATCGCTCCTCAAGGGTGAGCATTCTCCATTTCTTTCAATAAAATATGAATTAGTTTAACACTTACACAATATCCAACATATTGCGATGAGTGAATGAATAAACCAAAAATATACATCTTAAAAATATGTATATATATGTATGTTTTACCGTTAAAATGTGAAATCCATACGTTAATTTATAAAATAACAAACTAAACCATGAAATAATTATATTTACCAGGTAAAGTTTGAAAAAAGACAAAATTACATACTTTTACTAGGTAATATAAGAATTCACGATAGGTGAGTAGTTAGAAAATGAAATTGAAAATTAATCAGTAAATAAGATTCCATAGAGCAGCACGACAAATAGAACACTGGTTTTCATTGTACAGGAAAAGATTAAGACGGATAACTAACATAAGAGTATTGTTGTATTATAGAATAAAAAGCAGACTTTAAAGAGACGTATCAAATTTCAATCTCATACTTTAACGACTCCACCCCCTCGTGAATTTTTATATTATCTAATTATTTTATACAACAATTAGTAAAATATATAATAAAATTCTTTTATGTGCTTTATCAAAAATGTTTAATTATTTCATGTAAAATTTCGTGGTTTTTCGATGAAGTAACAGTAACATATATATACATATATATTCGCATTGTTGAACGATATTGTCAAGTAGCGATTAACACTATAAGCAAGAGAACATTGGAAAAAAGGAGAGAATAAGAGTGAGAGACAGAGAGAGAGAGAGAGAGAGAGAGAGAGAGAGGGAAAGAGTATATTCGTTTTTAATCCGATAATAGAACAACGATCAATATTCACGATCAACGTTGACTTATCGTCTGGCAATCGTATAGAGTCTATACTATAGACGTCGGGAAAGACGGTCGCTGTGCTTCACAGGGCCGACAGTAGTTTTGCAAAGAACTCGCCATCGCTCGGTACACGTAGTCATTCGTAAGGTATCATGAGAAAGCCCTTAACTCCGAAGCAATTGTTATAAACAGAATCCCACGTCGCATGTAATAGAAAGAGGGAGAATAGGTTATTCCACGCTCTAGACTTAAAATTGTTATCGATTTTCATTTTTAACGTCGGATACATAGATACTCGAAAATTCGAACTTGAAAATTCGACTTTTACCTTCTCTTTCTCTCTCATTTCATTATTTTTGTCAACACGTTTTCTGTTCATTGAAAAAAGTACATTTGAAAAGAATGTTTCCATGTAAATCTTAACTTATATAAAAATACATAATTATTTTGATTGAATGAAAAAATATACAGTGAATGGTTTCGATTAATTGAAATCATTGAAATAATATTACATCATAATGATCTAAAGTATTTGTGGGTCGCAGATATTACGCGAATTACTGCAGAGGCGACTGTGCGGCGGGTCACAGAACGCCGGACACGTTCCTAAACTATTACACGCACGTGATCGAAGAATACAGAAAGATGGATCGACTCGCCGGTATGCAGCCCTGTTGTGCGCCCCTTAAGTTCTCGCCGATGTCGTTGATATACTATGGACCAGACTCAAACATCATCAAGAGGGATCTCCCAAAGATGGTGGTCGACGAGTGTGGATGTCCTTAATTTAAGTCTCCGCTGATAGATAAAAAAAGAACAAAAAAAAAGAAGAAAAAAAGAAAAGAGATACTAAAATTGGCCCCTCTCCTTTGGAAAAATCCTCCTCCTACTCTTTATCACGATTTACCGAAGGAGCTTTCGACTTCGAGGGACCTCGTTGGAACTTCCCTACGTTCTCTTCGTTGTCAAACCTTCGACAATTCATCTCGAGCGAGCACGATCGAAATTTCGTAGGAGCTAATTAAATTGTTCTCGGAAACGCGATCGTGATCGCTATTGTTATAATGCATAACGAAAAAAAAAAATAGGAGATTAGAGGAGGGAAATAAATGAAAGGAGGACGAGAGAAAAAAAATACAAAACGTACAGAAACAATACAAAAGAATAAATATCTCCTCGGTCGGTATCTCAGGTGTGTCCACCACATTTTTGAGATATAATATATTATAAATAATATACATATATACAGACGATACCTATTATACATACGCGAATACGCGTGACAGACGACACGCAAATATATAAACGTACCTTACACTTACACTTACATACACGTGTACGACTCGATTCCCAGACGATTTAATCGTAACAGAAACGAAGTCGCCACGTGGGAATTCTTATGGAGAGCTTAGTCATTTTCTATTAGTTGCGATAAAACGGCGGTAAAGAATTTAAAATAAGATACGACATATTTCTGACTTTTCCCGCATTTCGCGCATCTACGCGACTCCGCATACGCGCACACGCACATACATACATATAACAATACACGTACACGTATACACTAAGCACAGATATACACACGCGCGCGTTAAAACCCGCGAGGTGATTCAAAACCAAGTATAAGTATTTAAAGATATAATAAATCAAGAAGAAAAAAAAAGGTAAGGGCGTAAACTCTAATGTAAGTGTAAACAATAAAACTCAATCTAATTGCCTTGTTTTTTATGCGAAACGTATGAAAGTATCGAGTAACAATTTAACAAAGTAAAAAATACTATTAAACAAAAAAATCTCTATATATATTATAAATACTATACATATATAAGTAAAAATAAACGCGCGCGAAACGATAAACTTAGCAAGTCAATGGCGGGGGGGGGGGAGTTTTCCGGAAGGTCTGTAAGGAAAGGGAAACATTTATAGAGTTCAAAAAGGCTAAGGAAACTAAATTATTACTTTTATTACCACTATTATTATTATTATTATTATTATTATTATTATTATTTTTACCTTTATTATTATACCATTAGTATTATTGTTTTAATTGTTTTCAATGTTATTTATTTATGTTATCATTATTGTTGTTGTTATTGTTATTGTTATTATTATTATTATTATTATTATTATTATTAGTATTTTTATTTTTTTATTATTATTATATTATTAATCATTTTATCATTATCTTTATTATTTTATTCATGTTTATTGTTATTACCACCGTAAAGTTTATTTAATAAAAATGATACCTTAAAAATAAAGATCACAATTAGTATGTGCAAATTTTGAAGAATATTTTTGCTAATCATTATGTTAGAATTTATTTATGATTAGTGTGAACGACTAATTAATTTATAAAAACCTTTAGCGAGACTGATCAAAAAAGCAAACGTAACTATTTCAAAGAAAGACAAAAATCTTGAAAGGAAAGAGAAAAAAAATTATTAGATTAAATAAACATTGGTTCAAAACAGTGTTTTTTCCTAGGCTCTTTTTGTCTTTGTATTTTTTAAAAAGTAACATTGTATTGTTTATAATGTAACGCACGTTGGATACCTTAGCCTTATTAAACAAACACAAAAACGAAAGTTAGCGAAAATTAGCGCGTACCGAATTGTTACTACCAATTTCACACAAGGACGACAAAGAAGACGCGTGATTTTGGCCAGAGGCGACGTTCGCTAAATTTTTTCTCATCTAATTGTAAAACGCGATATAAGAAGACTCGAAAAAGAAAAAGGGGAAAAAAGAAAAAGTAGAAAATAAAAAGAGGACTAACCTACACACACCATCGAACACAAAGTAAACAACGCACACCACACACACACACACACACACGCACAAATACACAAACACAACAAATGACACACATATACGTACACACATTTATATATACCTATATACGCGTGCCGAGTCTACATTATAATTGAAGGACTCCGAAGAGTTTGCATTTAACATAATTTAACAAGAGATAGCGAAAGAAAATGAAGAAGAGAAAAAACGCGAGCGATAGATAGAAATAAATAGAGAAAGAAAAAAAGAGAGTGAGAGAGAAAAAAAGAGAGAAAGAAAGTGAAAAGAAAATTGCTAGGAAAGCATTTAAGTCAAAAAAAGAATAAGAAGATCCGCGCAGATTTACATTTACATTTACACGAGCTATTTAGTAATATCGAATTTGGAATGAAACTTTTTCGAAAACAAAGGAAAGAGAAAGAGAGAGAGAGAGAGAGATTAAAAAAAGGGATATCGAGATTTAGAACAATCGATAAGTAATCTTTTTTTAATAAGATTAGGAAGGAAAAAGAAATGAAAGATAATGAGATTAGAGGGGGGACAAAATAAAAAGGGGTGAGGCTATGTTAATCGAAAATAATAAACAATAACGAGACAATAAACCGATCGAGGATCTCACACGACACACATAAAAAGAGAGTTGCGAACCTCGAGCAACGGAAATATACTGGGATGATTATTAAATTTCTAATAAGAATTGTCTAAAAAGAGAAAGAATGAAAGGAAGAAAGGAAGGAAGAAAGGAAGGAAGAAAGAAAGAAAGAAAAAAAGAGAAATTTGTTAATTTTCTTTTCTTTTCCTTTTCCCATCTCTCCGGTCTAATTATTCACCTTGTTAGGTCGTTATTTTCGTCAAAAGAAATCGACTTAATAAGGAGAAGATGGTCGGACCATGAGCTCGGTGAAAAGCAATTCTTGTATTTCTTTCTTCGAAGGGAATGGGATACGAGAGGGCGCAACTAGAAAAGAGTATTATTGCTAATGTGGACGTGGGCGATTTTAACTTTCGAGAAAGATATATTTAAATTTCTGTGGGATAGTTAACCCACGCAGCCTTATTGGGCCTTATTAAGGTATTATCGCATCATTACTAAATTAACTCTTAAAACTAATGGTAAAGCTTAAGTAAAACAAAGATTAAAGAAAAAAAAAACACATAAAAGACGACGGCGAGAGAGAAAAAACGACAACGCGAATATGTAAAAACAAGAGAGAGAGAGAGAGAAAGAGAGAGAGAGAGAAAGAGAGAGCGTGTGAGATGCGAGAGAGAGAAAGGGTGTTCATAAAATGTACTCATAATTATGAAAGTGGTCTAATTGTAAGTCAAAAATAAGAACAAAAATACGAGTTTATATTTGTTATTTCACGTCTCATTATTTCAATGTAATTTTAACGATATTGTCAAAAATGAACTTTTACGTAGTGCTTGTTACTTCAATATTATATAGAATTCATTTAGTGTTCAAATGTAATCCTTCAAATATCTCGAAACAAGAGATAAATAACTTTTATACCAGTTTCATAATTATAGGCACAAATGTACTTAATACTGTATTTAATCTACTCAATACACGTTATGAAAAAGTAAAAAAATTGTGGCTCTAGGAAAAGATATGTCCAATAGAGAAAGAAAGAGAAAGAAAGTGATATGTGGAATGCATCTCTGAAGAACAATTTAGTACATAGGTGACGAAAATATATCGTTTTACATTATACGTTTCTTCCAATTATGTACTTACATCTAACGTTATAGATAATATTATCTAAAGAAGAAAGAAATAAAATAACAATGATGAAAAACGATAAATTTTCGTTGTCCCTACGAGCATTTGTTTAAGGAAAGACATGGTGCGTGTGAACAAGAGATAGGGAGAGAAAGTGTGTGTGTGAGATTGAACGAAGTATAAAGAGAAAGAGAAAGAAAGAGTTTTGAGATTCCGCCGTTCATCTAGCCAAAAAAACTAATTGCGTCCAAAAAGTAATGTTTAAAAACGTCTTTAAACGAACGTACTTCTAGTATTATTAAGGGAATTTTCTTCAAATTCTTCTTCTTCATCTTCTACTATTACTACTACTACTTCTTTTTCCTATATTTCTTTCGGGGAGAAAAAAAAAGCAAAAAAAAAGCGAGAGAAAGAGAAGGAAAGAGAGAGAGAGAGAGAGAAAATAATAAGCGGCTGGAGCACATGCGAGTACTCCTTTTGAAAAAAAGCCTTTAACGAGCTCAAGGACTGCGTTTATGAAATACCACTCACTTTATTGTATACAAGGAATAAACAATAATTATAATAATTATAAACAATAATAACGATAATAACGATAATAATAATATTAAAGGTAATAACAATAATAATGATGATAATAAATAACGTTTAAAAAAAATGCGTAAGCAAAAGAAGAATGAAAATCAGAACGAGACTAAGAGTCAGAAAGAGAAAGAAAAAGAGAGAGAGAGAGAGAGAGAGAGAGAGATAGAAAGAAAGAAAGAAAGCGAACCACAGCGAGTGAGTAAACAAGAACAAGGCTCAAATTGATTTCGCGATCAATCTCCTCCCTGATCTCATCGGAGATCTAAACAGAAACCAGCACTCCGGTCCAAGGGACCCCTGACGAAAAAGCTTCAAGCGATTTCACACTTGATTTTTACGTTATGTTACCTTAGGCACGACCTATGACTATGTCATATATTTTAATATTTTAATATTAATACGAAAATAGACGTCGTTCGAAAAATAATAATGAATTAATTTATTTGAAATTTAATAAAAATATAAATACATACGTAGAAAACTATAAATCGTTAAACAAATTGGTTCAACAGTTTCTTTAATCTTCAATACAAAAGTGTGAAAAAATTAATATGAGCGTCATTTTGAATACATTCTTACGATCAATCTGAAATTTGTCAAAGCAATTATACTAATAATAATGAAAAACTGTGTAAAATCTGTTTTATTTTTATTTCAGCCAATTTATTGCTGTGATCAAACAAAAGTTGACGCTCTATAGTTCTTTAATTTGATATTTTTTCCCTCAATGTGATGATATACACTTTATCTCTCTTTGGTAACAAATAAGTTTCTTTATAGCGATTATTAACACTAACATGACATATCGAAATAAATCTAGTATTTTTAAAAATTGTTAAATTAAATTGTATTATTAATTTAATATTTGTTGATTTTAACATTATATAAATTTGTTTATAACAAATTTGAACTATAGAGAGTTAACATGTATAAATACATTAAGTAAACGTGAATGATTTTCGTCGAGAATTTTCAACTTAATTGATAAACATGTACTTTTTCTGTTAAAAGCTATAGCGAGTCTTTCAACGACAGTGATTACACAAGAAACTGTTTGCGGTCGTGCCTAAAAAAACGATTCGGTACGAGAATTTACAGAATGTGGTTGCAGGCTCCAGTGAGTTCTCATCTTCACTCATCCAGCTTTTCATCTTTCTCCATAAGAATAAAATTCTTAAACTTTGAAATTGCTTGCATCGATTGAAAAAAAAAATCTTTGGAGACAAGTTGCAACGCATCCGTTGATCTCGATCGAATCGTTGTATCGTAACGGTTACAAAAGAAAAAACAAACAAAAAAAAAATAAATAGTAAGATGAATAAAAAAAAAAAATTGTCAAAAGGTTTCAATTGATCGTTCTTCCCTCGTAGTTGTTGATTAAAAAAAAATGCGAAGGGCCGCCGACTAGCTTCCGTCCCACCTGTTAGCGAAAGGCATCGTTTAAAGAAAAAAAAAAAAAAGCAATGAAAATAAAAAAAAGTAAGAGAAATAAAACAAAGCATTCGTCGAATATTTTCTCTATCCTGTATAAAGTGACTCAAGAAAAAAAAGAATAATAGTTAAATGTAATGGCAAAAGAATAAAAAAAAAATATTGAAAAATCTTCAAGGAAAAAAGGAAATTTAAAAAAAATAAACAAGTAGAGATGAAAAATAATCTGAGTGAGTAACATATATACAAGTAATGTATGCATACATATACACGTATATACGTATTCATACGTATGTGTGTACGTATATATACATATGTATATATAAATATACTTACGATTTTTTCGTTAGTAAATAATGTGTTTCGTTTGCGTAGCGATTTTGTAGCAAAATATTTTTTGAGGCTGTGCCTCCGCTCGTTCGCGCTCACGTACGACTTCACACTTACACGCGGCGCGCGCGCGTACGGCAACGGCGATCGATTTAAAAAAAAAAAAAAAAGAAGAAAAGAAAAGAAAAAAAACAAACAAATTACGATATTACTATTCGCGATACTCAGAGGATATTCAAAGTGCCTTATGATATATGACAGTTAACTCGAGCCGCCAGAACAATTGCCATGCTTTAAAATTTATATTACTTACATTGTACAAGAAAGGACATAAAAAAAAGGGAAGGGAAAAGATAGTATAAAAGAAAAAAAGATTTAAAAAAAGGCTATATTGAAGGGACATAAACGCACAACGTTCGTGTTCATCATCAAGCTGCATTCGGCTGAATTTGAAATTCAGATAAAGATTGTAGGGCTAATATGTACGTATAAGAAAATGAGTAAAATAAGGGAAAGAAAAAGAATAATACAAACTACGGGGGAGTTGAGCGCGAAAACGAAACATTTGAATTTGATCCTTTGGCACTTATCGAGTAATTATAAATAAAGGAATTCAATTCTAACGGGAACAGGGAAATTGTGCCTCTAAAAAACGCCCAACGCGTTTTTCTCTCCGATAGAAAAAGGGAGAAGAGCGAGCGAAGCCTTTTCCAATCCCGACGAGGTCGCTTGCTGAAGCCGGAAAGAGAGAAAGAGTGAGATAGACAAATAGACAGACTGATAGAAGCCGAGAGTTTAAAAAGGAGCGAGTAAGAGAAAAAGGGAGAGAGAAAGAGAAAGAGAAAGAAAAATGCACGCAAATATTGCTCGTTTATCGGAACTGGAATGTGTGTATTTACGTATGCATATACGTACATGCATACATAGATCGATCGAGATGAACGAGAAAAATGGTGGGGATGCGAAATGATGAAGGGAAAGAAGAAAAAAGAAAAAAAGAGAGAAAGAACGACGATACAAAAAATCATGTTCCTCGAGAACCCCGGGTCCTCGACCTTTCGACTTTCCTTTTTCCTTTTCTTTCTTCTTCTTGTTTCTCATTTTACTTCCGGCTCGTTATATATATTATATACATACATATATATAATACCGGAAAACACGAGGGAGCGGTCGGTTATTTTTTTTCACTACCAGCGATCCAACCTTATCCTCTCGTCACACTCGTCGCAATATATCTATCTGTCCTTTTTGCGGAATATTCATTATATTTCAAGGATGGATGAAATTCCATGGAAAATAAAAAGACCCTTTAAAAATGTACACTCGTCGTGTGTGTCAAAAACTACTCTTATCGACCACCCTCTTATTCTCTTCCTCTCCAACGTGTCATCCGTTTGCCCCTTGCAACCCTTTTCAGACTTTCCCCTTTCCTCCTCTCTAACACTCTCCACTGCCCCCCTTCCCTCATTCCCCATCCCCACATCTCTCCTGTCCTCCTCATTTCTCCCTATATCCCTTTCAAAACTCACAGATCCTTTTCACAGACGAAAACTAAACCGAAAATTAAGTCAGGTGAGTAAAATCACACACACACGCGTTCACGCGCGTATATTATATGTACATTTACCTTTACTATCTAATATATCAACTCATATTATTAATTCATATTTATTAGCATGTTATGTTAAGAGAGACATTAAAACATTTCAAGTAAAAAATATTTTACAAAAATTCTTGAAAGAGTAAATGAAGTTTTAATGATGCGAATTTATCGCACGAAATACGTTCAGGTGTCTTCCTCTATACATTTTTTACATGATAATCAAGCGTCCTGTTCGTGTCTACCGATGGTTGTTTTACATGATGCTTTAAAGTAAGCCGAAATAAAAAATGCATAGGCTTCGCTTGACTCGGTAATGCAAGTTACAAAGCCACGTAACAAGAAAACGCGTGAGTGTTCAATCGAAGCGAGATATAAATAGAACCTCCTATATCATTCCCTAATTCTAATTCTTCTTCCTATACCTTTTATACTTTATCCTTAGATCATGTTCATGATCTATAACATTTAATGCCCACGCTTGTCATATCTGGCCGTAATCTAAAATATAAATATTCCTTAACAAATTTTCGCTTAATATTAATTAGACGCTTTATCAAAACAAATAGTTATCGTAAATTTCATCGTAAATCTTTCAAATTGATATTACATACGTAGACCTATTGAAATATCCATTATATGAACCACTTGTACGATTTACTAACTTTCGTTATTTGTGTTTTTTAAAAAGGACACACAATTACGTACTTATATACAAGCAATAGTAGATTTAAATACAGTCAAAGATTGTCAAAAAATAAGTGCCTAGCCAACGAGCGAATGCGGCCCTGCATTGAGGGTTAGTAACCTCTCTCGTGGCTCGCTTCGTACGATAATACTGTAGCACTATAAACCATATCGACCTATCCCCATGTTCTAGGATAAGGGATGTCTAGCCAGTTCTCAAATGGTACTGCGAACGTACAAATTACATGTCTGAATATAGTCGGATATCATCATTGGTTAACTCTTCTTCTTAAATTCTAGAATTATAGTATGTCCGATAGAGCGGCTGGTAATTTTCTTCTGTAATTTCATATACCGATACGCCCAGTATATTCATTTATCCCGAAAAGGAGTACATGCAAGTCGTTACAAGAAAATGAAGGAAGTAGTGAAACTAAAATATTTGAGATAACATTATTCAAAATTATACTTCTCTAGAATAAAATTAAAAATCACTCCTACGGTAAATTTTCGAAAATATTTTGCTTTCTTGAAATTTTGACAAATTGATATTTCACGTCATAGAAATATCTGTAAAATTGTACCAAATGATGTTTTCGTATTTTGAGAATTCTGCGATAGATGGCTCTGCCTCGTAATTTTAACGTGTAATCCATATATACGAAGAAGAAAGATAAACTCGTAAATTTATCACGATAAGAGGATCAAGTGAAAAATGAAATGTGCATGTTTGTAACCATTATTGAGATAATTACTATAATATGAAATAGAATTCTTATAAAATTACAAGCTTAATGTAGATTTCAAATTTTTAAGTAATAGACTGGATGCACAATAACTAAATCAGCTCTGCATACTATTTTAATATCATCATTCGAAAATATATATAAATAAAATCACATTTCGGAATGTTTCTCTATAAAACATACTTCTAAATAGAGGAATATAATATTATAAAAATTATATTCAAGAAATTTCTCAGAAAAATGATGCGCGAAATTTGAACTTTGACATATTTTACTTCTTATTAAAAGCTATCACTAATAAAGTGAAATTACAATTGAAATAAATTTTTACTTTTCGGGATTAAAATATTACAGACGTTAAATTTCAAAATCTATGTAGATACTCAAATTACAGATTCGATATAAACTAAATACATTAGCTAACAAAAAGTGTCAATCGAAAAATACTGAATTATAAAAAGTCGTCTTCTTTCGTATAGTATTTCACTAGAGTTTTCTTGGCCACGTTTACAGTCGAGAACTTTGGCCGTCTATATTATGCAAGTAGATCAGGTCAGGAAACTTATACGTTTATGTCCGAATGCTGCGTTTCGCCTCGTTAAAGTAATCCTCAACTAGCTTTTCGTATAATTTTCAATATTATGTTGGAAGCAATTTTAATGATGCCAATTTCATTTTTTCAGCTATCACTTTTCATTATAGATCAAAACTTTCCCATCTTTATGATAAAAGTTTCTAAATTAATAAAGAAATCTTACAAATATATCCGCATATAATCGTATTACGTATAATACTTCATTTTATTTACAATTTATAGAAATATAAAATAAAATGTTTACTTTTCATTCAAACCTTTTATCAAAGTGATAATTTCGTTAATGATTTCTAATTTTTCACACTCAACAACAGCCAAAATTGTATACATGTTCGCACTTTTTATACATATATTGTTACAGATCGTTCAACATCATTTCGTATTTTGTCGTTGTCAATCGAATGCTACAGAATAGAATATATTAAAACAATGCACGCATGTATTTAATAGCGATAAAAATATAATCTTGATAATTATTTATGGATTTTTATTTAATAGTTAGTATTTTTAAATATTTTCGGTCAGTATTTATAAAAAAATAAATATATACGAAAAATATCAGTATACACCATGTATCAATATGTTATCCTGATAAAACCTTGACGCAACGTCTGCTATTATTATAAATACTGACTATCTATTTAAAATACTTATAAATTATAATTTTTACTGAACAAAATATTCATATATACTGACAATTTATTTTATAAAATACTGACCAAAAATGTATAAACATTCTGATTAAATAAACAGAAGTATTATCTACATATTCGCGAAAATAATTTTATCATGAAATTATTTCTATGAAAGACAAAAGTTGACACGCGTGAGCATTCATAAATAATTAAGCTAATTAGACGATTAATTAACACGTTGCCGTACACTTTTAATTTGACGATCGTGCTCAGATATACAAAGATCGTCATTTGCGGCAATGTGTTAAAATAAATCAAATATAAAATAAGTCCTTTTATATGTTATTACTAATATATAGATAATATATTATATAAAATTTGCATTAAAACTACTTCCACCAGTCGTACTACGTATTTATTTCATAATCATCATTCTATCAACGGAAATGTCATGATGAAGCAAAGAAAACAGTTTAAGGAATAAACGTACGTTTTTAGTGATCTACAGAAGGCAAATCCAGCCTCTTTCTTTTGCCACTTGTTTTCGCTTCCATTGAATCTTTCGGCGTTAAGGCTGGAAAAGTGCAACCCTTCGAATTTGCTATTTGAAGACCTTTAAGCTCCAGCCTACGTATATAAGTCGTATTTGGTATCACGGAGACAGGACCAAAGTAGCAAACTTCTCGCGGACGATTGATTTGCGAAGCCAATGGTCTCTCAGTTCGTTGTACTTTTTCACATTTAATAGTTCTATCAAATTCTATTTTATTGCGTAATTCTTTCGTATCGTGTAAAATAGTCATTTGCCACCTTAAAATTATTCGACTTGTTTAGTAAAAAAAAAAGATATGAAAATGATTATAATTGAAAAAAATAAAATATGTATACCTGCCAGTGCTGCTGCGACAAACTCTTGGAGATGGTTTAACCGAAAGAATGCTTGCTTTTCGATCCTGAATCTTTTTCTTCGAAAACGGATTTAAACTTGACTCTTTGGCGATACATTTCTGTAATTCTTCAAGAAATTTCACACTAAAATTGTCCTGAAGGAAAAGAAGGTGATGCAGTAAAACGGAACACTTAGGCCTAGTATCTGGATCCATACGAAGACACTGCGAAAGAAAATCCAAGCTCACTGAACTCCATGAAGGAAAGAGATTTCGTAAGGTTAATGATCCTTGAAAAATCATGAATTCATCGACAGCAGTAAGTCGTAATGACTGTTTAGAATAATTGCTTGGTCCAATTGACGACTGGTGTTTACCACCAAGACTACCTGTATATGAGCAAAATAATTATTAATATTTAATTATCAGTTTATTTCTCAAATCTTACCTAAGACTTTAGTGATTCTATAAAGTTGATCGATGTCACTGTCGCCTGGAAAAATTGGTTCTCCTGTCATCATTTCAGCATAAAGACAACCGACCGCCCAAACGTCTATTTCTCTGCCATATCTCGTATCACCAACGAGCAGTTCTGGTGCACGATACCATCTCGTCGCTACGTAATCGGTACAGGATTCTTTCGAGCTGCCGACCAATCGTGCAAAACCGAAATCGCAAAGTTTAATCACACCATTCGACGAAACTAAAACGTTCTCTGGTTTGACATCCCTGTGCATAATCTAACAATAAAAAATAGATCCGTTTTTTGTTCTGTTTTATTTCTCTACAAGAAATTGGGTTGATAATTAAAAAAATCAATTTCATGAATATTTCATTTAATATAAATTTATATAATTATGTTATTACAGAATAAATATAGATATTCTTCCTTCAATATACATATATATAATCGAAATGTATTTATTATACCAATTAGAGCGAACATATAGAATAAGAGCAAAGTTTACGGATTGTTATAAGATAAATTGAATAAAAGAACTTCAATTAATAAAACTTTTGCCTAAAACAAGTTTTGAATTTTTACTTTTTCTAATACGTAACAGCAATAGCAATTACATTTCCAATTGTAAATCATACATTTATTTATATTAAATTTATGTATATTTGAGACCTTCTAAATATTTCTACGAGTCTTTAACTAATCGTTGTTGGCGTTGTTGCTTCTACCATATGACTATTAATAAGAAACATCGTCACGCTAGCTGCATTCAAAATCGTACGTCAAAGCCAAAAAATTTGTTAAGAATTATATGTATTTTATTTACGCTGTAAAATTAACATATTTATTAAACCTATATTGTATTTAATTGTTATTAATAATTTATTGAAAAATATTATTTTCCAACATTTACTAAATTAATAAAAAATCAATTATAATTTGAATTTCATTATGCACTCGATCGTGAATATTAAATTACTTATTCAATTTTTACAATGATATCATTCATGTATAATTCAAGTAATTATTATAAAATGTCTTATTTCATTACGCATCGAACAAGGTCAGTATTCAATTAACTCATTCATCTATCTCGCATTTATCTTTAAACGTTATTTTTAATCAACGTGGAATATGAATGACACGTGAAATGAAAAGAAATAGAAGGTAAAGATATAGAAATTTTTCCTTAAAGTTTAATTTCCTTTTAAATCTCATAATTGTATAAAAAAAAATTCGACAAACCAATGGAAAAATTTAAAAAAAACCAATAAAAATACAAATTATTCTGAAATAAGAAATTAGTATATCATGTCTTCTTAAAAATCATAAAATTTCTCACAAAAATTAATCATCGTCCTTTAAAATCTCATCCAAACTTACGCAATATAAAAAGAATATCATTAATCAAGGCTTGATCACTCACGTGATTATTGTGACAGAAATTCAGACCACGAAGTACTTGAAAAATGTAACGTTTTGAGACCTCTGCTCCGAGACCATCGCCAGTTTTTTCTAATTCATCGAGAACAGTGTGATCCAAGAATTCAAAAACCAAATAAAATCTTTTTCTACGGCGAAACACCTCGATCATGTTAATAAGATTCTCGTGACGCAGTTTCTACATCGAAAAGAAGAATTTAATTAAAAAAAAATATTAGATAGATCTATCGTAATTAGAGAAGTTTGATACAAATGAACGCAACTAATTACCTTCAATATCCGAATCTCTCGAAGAGCCAATTTTCGAACTTGAACGTCCTCCTCCGTTTCTAAAAATTTCTTTATTGCTACCACTTGGCCAGTTTCACGATGTCTACATTTCATTACAACACCATAACTACCCTCACCGACAACTTCGATATTCTCGTATTTATCCATTGTATTTGTCAACTACTCTTTCATGTTAAAATGTGTATACTATCCAACCGATCCTCGACAAGCATCTTAAATTCATTAGCGAAACTTTAGAAAAGAAAAGAAAAATTTTAATTCTCGTACAATGACAACAACACTCACTGCTTTCTAGAAACATCGGAAAAAGAAATGGAGAAAGGAGCAAAAAAAGAAGAAGAGAAGAAAAGAAAGATAAAGAAAATAAATGAACCACAGGTTGCGATGAACGTAGCAAAGTATCAAGAAAATCCTTTTCGATCGTTGCCGATAACAAACACGTGTTCGTTCACCTAATAGGTGAAACTTCGCAGCAAGATGAAAGAAAGAAAAAGACAATAAAAATAAAATAAGAAACGAATAGAGAAAATTTTCTTAAAAAAATATTGTTCATTTGTAAGCAACATCGAAAGTATTACAACTTATAAAGTATAAGAAATCCAAATTTTCACTTTTTAAAATATCTATCACTCTTTAAAAAAAAAAAGACAAAATAAACTTTCTTCGAAGTAAACTCCGGCAAGGATAAGTTCCAACTGCTACTCAGGGTACTGTACGAGTCTCTCATCGATGCTTATCGATCGGCTCGCAATTAGAGCAGGGGGTCTGTTTTCGTCAATAATAGCTAAACTACTCGCCGTTGGAGGCTTGTTATGCTTTAAGGGTGAAGGTGGTAGGAGTAAAAGAGGTACCAAGAGCGATAAACTAACAGGATGATACGAATAGTTACGGCCTAGACTCCTAACCTCTTTTCTTTATCCTCTTCTTTCTCTAATTAAATTAGTCACGATCTTTTGCAAATTATTTTTTATAGAATCGTACATATATTCTTTCATCTTCTGCATCCTTTGGAGCAACGTAGCTTTCGAATAAAATTTGAAAGAAATGAAGTGCTCGTTTCAACGTTAATAGGGGGATGGATGATAGGTAAACGTAAGAGGGAACTTGTTGGAGCGAGACTTGAATGTCTAAAGAGCGTCTGAACTTTGCGTGCCGAGAAATCACTGACGAAGTTCACCCTTGCGTAAGCTCGAATAAAAGGTCAATCCTAGCGAACTTGCCGAATGCCAGAAACTTTTCCAAGGTCTCGTCTGTTAATCGAGGTGTTAGATTCATAGAAAGTAGGAAGATACAATCTTATGTTTTCCCAGTTCTATAGAAATTTTCAAAAATATTCAACTCTGATTTGTATCTTACAAACGATAATTACCTATAGATCCAGATAATGTTCCTTCGATGTTCTTCGCGATTTTCATTTAATTCTTTTTCACACTTGACCCTAAATGTCCTTGATAGGAATTAAAATCAGAAAATACATATGATCACCTTAATGTATAATAATTTTTAAGGTTATACGATATAAAAAGTTATGAACAAGTAAGTACTTAATCTGTAACTAAATGTAATAAAAAGCTTGAAAAGGTTTAATCGTATCGATCTACGCCTGATTAGTCTGAAGTAAATCGAAGGGATACTATGACGTTCTCGATACATTCGAATCACAATTTCTCGAACGAATACCCGTAATCGATTAACACGAATAGAATTTGTAAACTATTTATGGACGAAAGTTCAATGACTTGCCGTCTGTGGTTTTGCCAAAGGCTTTTTGATCGCGTGCTTTACAGGAATCGTTCAATGCGTTCTCTTTTTCACCATTATTATTTATAAAAATGAATCTTTCATAAAGAGAATATAAGAAAGAGGTTACTGAAAAACACAATAATAAAACTAAACTATTTTATGATCTAAAGTTAATTTTTAATACTTCACGCATATATATTTCAAAAACGTTCGATTTGAATTCGAACTATCATTGTCAGTCTAACAATAAGCTTACTTGACAAAGGAAAAAACTATCTTTGACTGTTAGCTTGTCTTATACCTAAGCGGAACTGATCTCATCATGTGGCCTACACATATAAACACCAAGAACCCATACTATCCTACTATTACGATGAAAAGAATAAAGAGAAATTAATCCTTTAGGATTAAACTATTATATCTTTTAGGGCTCATCTTAACTTGGGCATATGCAGCAACAAGGATAACATGTCCCATAACGTAAACCTTAATATAAACATAGCTGAAATACAAACATGCGTGACTATTTTATGTAAATTCAAATAAGCGGTCATTCAAATAATTAATTTTCAGATAATTGATGTTTCGATATAATAATATGTCATCACTGACATATACATCAGCGTTGTTCAATTTCTCTTATGTTAGTTAGTACGCGGGCCATTTTTTCTTTTGTGAACATTTTATCAATCAAAAAGTCAATTAAATGTCACGTCAAAAATGAATGCATAAACAAGTTTAAAACCGCCATAATACAGCCCTCCGCTGTTACAAGTTTTCTATATAGAACACATTTCTTTTCATTTTAACTTTGAATTTAGTTTAGCAAAGACGTTTATTTAAATTCTTATTTAAAAATATTAATTTTTTTCTCGTACTACCAGATGGACATCGCTGATATACGTACATATATACAAAGAAATGAGAAAGAAAAAAGTTACAGATGTGAAGGATAAGAAAAAACGACTAACATAAGAAGAAAGAGAGTAAAGTAAGAGAAGAAGCACGATCGTGTTCAGAATTTGTTCAAGGCGTATCTGTTAGCAGCAATAGGCTGTAGCGAGTGAAAACGAGCACTGAAATAGATGCACCACATGGCGGGGATCTTCGACTATGTGTGCGAGAATGAGTGTACGGCTTTCTACTGGTTCGCGTACTGGGAAAAAGACGGTAGCAGAGTGAACGAGAGTGCCAAGTCGAAGAAGATTTTCAGTTCAAATTGGATCAATTCGATAAATCTTGATCACGTCTTTTTCGAGAAATATACAAGTAAATAATGTATGATAAAGATCGTTAAAAAAAAAAGCCGAATTTGACAGTGGACAAAGATTATGTGAAAATAATTTTGTGACAAAACTTGTGACGATTATAATTCGTTTGAGTTCTAGTGATGTGGTAAATACTAATTTTCAAGAAAAAACATTTTATTAAAGAGAAGGTCAATAAAATATATATATATATAGAAAAAGAGAGAGGGAAGTACGAGTGAAAAATTAAAGTGAAGAATCTTATGAAGTAATAAAAAAAATACACGTATGATACTTTTTAATAGAATTCGTTTAATTAGATATTATAGGAGAGAAGAAAGTGAAAAGAGTCGAGTTAAATCGAGTCAATTGTTGAGCGTCGTTCACGTTCGACATCTCGATGAAGATTCACGATCTTTTAGTGAGCTAACATTCTAAAAATACGATGTAAGCTTCGTGATCTTATAGTGGAAGTCTTCGAGCATCGAGGAAATTTCGTGGAGACTAATAGTTAGATAGTAGTAATACGCGTTTATACTTTCTATTGCAAGTCAGACAAAATTATAATTCGTTTGAAATGAAATGGATAATATAATACTTCGGTATATTGATGATAAATAATAGAAACAATTTCTCCGAGAGAAAAAAAAAGAGAGCTAATTCAAAAAATTGTTTTTAAGGCAATGCTCGTTCGTCACACGAAAATTCAACTAAGCCGGTTAGACCGGCGTAATCGAAAACGGTAAAATTTATCAAACTTGTGATCACTAACTAGACACAAATGGCTACCTGCCATCCTAGACCACTGGTACAGCACCTGCAACTACAGGAGCAAACTCAGGTTGGCCTAGGTACTATCAATAGCGTCGGTAGTCAAGGACAAAAAGTGCTACAGCAAACTCATTATCAGCCTCACCTGTTGAATTGGGTATATTTGGCGATCACTGATCAAAACTCGCCACAACTTTCTGATCAGGTAAATCATCTCAAATGATTTTTCACTTTTACCTATCATTACTATCTATAAAAAGCTTTACATTATTTAGTAAAAAATTGCCAAAACTCTTGAATAAACTTATTGTTTAAGAAAAAGCTTGTACCTACGATATGGAGCAGTTATGCGACAGCAAACTCACAAACCTATCTACACCAAAACACTTTGAATGCTTCCGGAGCAATAGGTGCCAGTTTAGCCGATAGTATTGGTGATCTCGCCGAACATTTTACTGAATTGGACCTGTTAGATAGAAAACCAATAAAGAGGCCACCATCTACGTACTTGTGTCATTTGTGTTTTACAAAAGGTCATTATATCAAAGATTGCCCGCAGGTAAGATCGTGATGTTTATTGCATCTCATTTTATCTTCAAAATAACATCTAGAGAAAGTTCGAAACTTACACGTTACTCGTAAATTCATGGCTGTTCGTGAACGAAGCGCGTGCCTTGATGTAACAGCGTGATGCGACGATCAATTGAGCGCTAATTGAGACAACAAACGAGTACTCTAAAGTTGATGACGTCAGGAATACTGCTTTGCAAAACATTCCATGTATATACACGACTTGAATCGTAATACGTTAATGTTACATCAAATGTTAATATATTTTATTTAAATTTTAAATTATCATTTTTACATAACGTGGTCTTAAATCGATTATTCCTCCAATTACGTTGACAACAAGGTTAATTATTGATAACTTTTCTAATTATAATTAGTTTTTTGAAGTGAAAACTTCTTTAGAATGGGGGTGATTTGAAAAAATGTAACGCGACGATGAAACAGCCACGATACTAAGTAAGAAGAGAAAAAAAGACAAACATATAAGATTAAGCTTGCGAGAGAATGAGATAGAATGTAGCTATACAGTTTTTCCTATTCTCGGTCTCCTCTTTATGCACTGCTTCGTAGTCCCCATTCCTGGCTACTAAGCGTTGTATATGTGTGTGTTTGTGTGTGACTGTATACTACGAAGCGTGGACTCATATCATCTTGATACTATACCTATCTAGTGACAAGGTAAACCTTTTGCGGATGACGGTCGGCACCTTCTACTTAATAAAGGGGAGCTGGGAAAAATGGAGCTTGTACAGTAAATATTAAATTAATATTTAAAATTAAATACATTTTTAATAATTAATAGTATTGAGTTCGAATAGAGAAAACCAACTTTACAACAAATTAGACATCATTGACGTTTAAAATTCATGCCGATTAAGATAGGTAGGTCACGTGGCACGCATGGGAGAGGATCGAACGGAAAAAACTGTGCCTTTTGATAAATACAGTAACAATATTATAATAAATAAATCCTATAACTATCTTACTCCTGATACTCTGCATTCTACTCATTCTCTCAGTTTGGTTTTAAGAAGGTTTCACTTCTAACACGTGTAATCTATACACATGATATTTTTTTATTTATAATTCAACTAAATCGTAATATGATTTTATCTCGATTTTTTTGAAGTGAAACTTCTTTAGGCACGCTAGATAGAATTCATATGCAAGTAAGAGAAACGAAGCATATTATGCATAGCATTGCCTATTTTTCAGTCTTCTCTTTGTGCATTTTTTCTTATGAAAGACAGAATGCTTCGTAGTTTCTCTATTCATGCTTCAAGCTCGCATGCACTACTTTTTAAGAGAGAATTGAAGACACTGTTAGATGTTTAGTGACAATGTGTATTGATATGCATCCAATGTACAAAAAACCGCCTAATTGATCAATTCTATTCACTCCAAGTATATATCATAATTTATTTTCATAATTACAGTCCACACGGCTAACTCAAATTTTTGAAGAATTATCCACGTATTCCTTTTCAGATAAAGCATAAAAGAAATCTAGATGAATAATAAATCGCAGCCGAAACCTGGTTTTCATTTATGTATAATACATATATAGAAGTTCTAGTATATATATATATATAAAAGTGTGTTCTATTAGATAATAATTATAAAATACTATTACTAAGCAAGTTATATATATAATATATATATATACGTTACCATGAAAAACCGAAATTGGAAAATGTCAAAATTCACATGGTTGAAAATCAACACATATCGAATATTTGAGTATATTCTTATACATTAATATTTCGGACATATACCAAGCTCAGTTTAACATTCTCCAATCTCGATTTTCCATGGTAACATATATATTCTATTGTTTATAGATCTCAAGATACCAAAAAAAATTTCTCAACTCTCAAAGGAGAGTAAAGCTCAAGTCAACCAACAAAAGTCAAACCACCACCGAAAACTGAAAGGGAATCTACTCAGGAGTATAGGGCACGACTGAAAGCATTAAAAAATAAGATACATATCTGTTGTAAATTTAATATATCTATCGAATTTAAATAGACACCTGCGATCAAGAAGTTTCACTTCAAACATGCGCACTTATTTGTACGCGCTATTTTTTTTTTATTAAATAGGATATTACACAAAAAAACTTATAAATGATAAACTAATTATTCTATGTTTTGATTAAGAAAGTATTTTTTTCATCTGATTAAAATGTGAAATAACTTTTTACTTTAGGCTCGTCCAAAAGGCGAAGGTCTTACACCTTACCAAGGTAAAAAAAGATGCTTTGGAGAATACAAATGTCCAAAATGTAAACGTAAATGGATGTCGGGCAATAGTTGGGCTAATATGGGTCAAGAATGCATGAAATGTCATATTAATGTGTATCCTCATAAACAGGTAAGAGTGTCCTAATAAATTTTTTGATAATTTCCCATAATGAATGTCTCGATCTTAAGAATTTCAAATTAACTGACATAGTATCACGATTGTTTATATCAACACGATCGTCATGTTATTTTCTTCAAGTATTATGATCGTAGATATGTATAAGAAAACGGGCAAAAGCTAATTATAGTTACATAGTCGCGCTCCGGCTCGTCGACTGCTGTACAAAAATACTTGAGCGGATTCATCGAATAATTATGTTACAACAGACTTTCCTTTTCCTTTCCGTGGACATTTTTTTCTACCTAAAAAACAAAACATATATATATATATATATATATATATATATATATATATATATATATATATTATTAACTTGTGGTTTTACTTTTAGAGACCATTAGAACAGCCTGACGGTTTAGACGTATCTGACCAAAGTAAAGAACATCCTCAACACCTTTGTGAAAAATGTAAAATTCTGGGATATTACTGCAGACGTAGTCAATAAAAGCGATGTAGCATACACATCAAAAATATATACATATATTTAGGTACGTATTATATACATATATATAGGTACGTCTTTTCTATATGACTACTCGCGTGATCATTTAAAATCCTAAATTAACGAACTATTACTGGTACAACTTTACATGCACTACTTTGTATGCATACTGTCGGATGTGCAAGAAGGTATAGATGTATATTATTTTTTCGATTATCTCAATAATATTATTCTTGACACAAAAACAATATTCTTTAATTAAATGACGAATCGGGACTTTCATACTCAGGGATGATTTTATGAAATCTATAAGAGCACAGATACAAAGCTCTTTTGTACAAAAATGATTATATTTAAAAATGAAGAATCATAAAAAACAAAAGTGATGCAAGTTAAAGAATGAAAAAATTGAATTTTAACTTTTTATTTTCTCAAATACATATCTATTCGTAATATGCATAACTGATTATGAATCTTCATAATTATAAGTCTTTTCCATTTAACTGAGAAGTAAATTCTTTAACTTACATCACTTTCTTATTAGTACATTCAATTCAATAGACACAAAATGTATCTTATCTTTGTACATCAGAGAATGAAAAGGGACAAATAGAGCGTAAGTTTACCGTTTATTTTAATTATCTCAATTATTTGTCACAATCTAAAGAAAATAATTGTCAGGAAACAACATTATTCGATACTGTACATATACATATAAGATTCGTCAAGATAAATATTTGACATAAATATGCTACTATTAGCCATATTTAACAACTTGAAAATGTTACAGAATGACTAGGAATGCTTGAGAGATATAACTTATACGCGTTTGAAACTATATAGTTCTCTTTTATTAAATAAGAAAACAAACTTTCTATCGCCAAAGAAAATAACATTAATAAATGTAGATGTATATCTCTTTTTCATCAAATATGCAACTCTAATATTCTAATAAAATGACATAAATTTATCAGAAATGCGAAAAAAATGGACTCAAATATGTTGAATCATTATTATTATTATTATTAAGATTATTATTTTTATTATAATTATTATTATAATTATTGTTTCATCGAAATCATCGGGAAAATTAAGAATTCAATGCAATTATTTCTCTACTTTCACTGAAGTGCATAAATTTATTTCTTTGGTTTTAATATCATTTTTGAGTACGGCTATAGAGCGTTAACAAACTATCTTTAACAATAAACGAATCACCTACGAAAAAATTTACGAAATTCAATACTAAATTCATTACGTATATATATATATATATATACTTAAGAACGTTTATCTCTAAAATTTATAACCATCTAAATATCTGCCCATTTCTAAGGATAAATTTAATAAAATGTGCACGACAATAACAAATTGTACAGACAAGTAAGTAGAATTATATATATTATTATTATTATAATTTTATTATATTATATATATATGTATATGTATATATCGTCGTTACGCCAAATATAAAAGCCAAAGATGTATGGTTTCACTATTATCTAATATAATACCGTTCCGTTGCATTTAAAAATTTATCATCTGTAAACCATTATTTTACCTTTACATAAATATTTATATAATACAATATATATCACGAATGTACAGTTGTCAAGGATTTGTTACGACGAACAGACGGTCCGCCGCGGGATCCTCACTAAAATACGCTGCAGAATTAAACATCGTTGTTGCTGTAGAATCTACTGTCGTCGTCTGGAAATAAAATAGACAATTACACTCTCCATCAATAAGTACAAATATCTATTGATGTTTTCTATAAATTTCTATACACAGATCTATTATTGGATGTCTTATTGATTCTTATATAAAATTTATTATAAAAATATTCCAAAATTCTTATATAAAAATAATTTATACTATCTTGATACTTATTTTCGTATAAAGATAGCACTTTATTCGTACTAATAACTATTTTTTTTTTCTTAACGATATAATGGACGTAAGGCGCATATCAAACATTTTAAATAACACTTAAATCTAATAAAATCCCAATGAATTCGCTATTAATCTCGGTTTAGTTAGCTACTATGTTAAAAATTGTTCTAATTAAAAATGATCTAGGAGTATAACATACTTCAATATAATTAAAAAAAAAAACATTAACAGAATCAATCGACACCCCGTACGTGTCATACTATTGCTACGACACAAGACATTGATTCACCTCAGATGTATCAGCACAATGTGAGGGATTCACTGTTGCCATATGTTGATACTCCATATTTTGTTTGTAAATGAAAGGCTGTGTGCAAGAATCCTCTAATGAACATTTTTGCTGTTGCAAAGAATGTGGCTGTATCCATTTTTCGTATTTTTGTGTTGTGGGATATTCATTCGTTTGATTTATCTTTGAAAGTCGGTCAATATCTTCTTCCTTTAATTCTGATTGCGGATGTAGCTGTTGTTCAGATGGTTCTACCTTATGTGGCACTATTTGACAAATATCGAATACACGTTGAGCAGCTGGTTGTACAGCAACTGGACTGGATACGCTTGGTGGCGGTTGATTAACTAAAGTAATTACTTGTAGCGTTTCCTTATTTTCAAATGCAAGTGGAGGTAAAGAAATTGGAATAGGGATTCCGCCGGTTCGTGGGACACCTTCGAATTCAGATGCAGCTGCTTTTACCTCTGATATATGAGAAATATTTTCCTTCTGCAAATGTGGAAGCTCTGTTTGAGGAGCAACGTTTTTTGAAAATGAAGGTTGTTGACCAATTAAACTAATAACTTGTGGAACTTGCTGCATTTGCGGTGGTTGTGGCGGAGGTGGTGGTTCAGGGAATAATTCTGCCTTCAACGTCGGTAAGAATCCATCGATCGCTCTCCATGTGGGAGCCCATAAATTGGAACTAGGTGCCAACACATTTGCAGAAGACATTACCAACAACATGTTTTTCAAAGATTCAGGTATTGCTTCAAACAGAAGCTCACTATTGTCTGCATGCATATAAGCACGTAATAAGTCGAGTACTGTCAACCAAAGAGGAAGAAATCCAGGAAGGGTTAATAAAGATGTTAAGTGATGAAGAAAAACCTTTGATAATAGCATGGCAGCTCTAACTCTTGTTTCTTCAACACCTATTGGATCATTGGTCGCAATAGGTCCGAGTAATTGAGCTAACAAAGGAAATAGCACCTGTTCCAAACACTGCGACCATTCAATGGCTGTTAATTGAGCCAAATCATGAGCGAGTAATGTACTTTGTAAGTATGTAATGGCTGCTGTACGGACGGGTCTACGAGCATCGCAACATAGACGCGCAATTCCTTGCAAAAGAGGTCTCCAAGCTTGAGGCCACAGAGAAACTCCCTCTGTCGTTCCACTTTCCTCGGCCCACCATTTAAAGATCTGAGCAGTTCTTGTGTGCAATGTATACATCAAATCCAAAAGGTGTATAGGACATTGTTGATAGCCAGGTATTTCTTCCAAATTGCTATGTACTCTATTACGTTTCCCAGCACATTGAAGTACAGCTTCAGCAAAAGTTCTTATACAACGAACACACATCTCAAAGTTAAACGGTGTTACGTGTGCCACATCTCGAACTAAGAAAGTTAAACTTTCACAACACTTGACTAAAGCTGCAGGATCATGAGGTTGCAGATCTCGGTCTAGAACTATTGTATCAGCGGCAACCGGAAGTGGTGCTTCTGTTCCTGTTGGCGATACAAGTACCCACTCCGGTACAGGACTAATAGGTCTAAGATCAAGGACAGATGCTCTACTATTTACTGCTTCATCTACTACAGGATTTGTCTGTTTAGGTGACAAAACGCCAGCTCCAGCACATTCCAGCAAACTAAATACAACTTTCCAATCTTCCGTATTATGAATATTTGCTGCACCCGTTTTCACTAATTCAAATAGACCATATGCGATCTGTCTTGCTAATGGTGGACAAGCGGAGGATGGTAGATAAGTCAAAGGTAGCAAAGGTGGTAAAACCGTATATGCAAATTCTTCTCCGCGTAATAATCTGATAGCCAATCTCAGCATACCCACTGTTACTCTTTCTAAAAGATATGGATGATTTTCTCTAGCACTTGTAGTAAGCAAACCATCTAGACGAGCTTGTACTATTGACCATATGCACATTACTCTATCCCGATTTTGAATAGTTACTTCTAATAATAATTCTAATAGAAAAACGGAAATATCTTCGTCGTCTGGATTAGCAGATACAAGGGCACCAATAAGTGAACGGAGGGATTCAACCTAAAAATGTATAAAACAATCATAAGAATTGTGAACAATAGTATAATTATTTCACAACAATTATGAATTAATGACATAACTTATTTGGTTATTTACCTGTAAGAATTTACTTTCTTCTATAATTTGTTTTAAATAGCAATTAGCTACAAATTCAGTAGCTCTTTTTCGTGCGGTTGCTTCCGCCATTCGAGAAGTATCTAACGCGATATATGAATAATACAAATTAGATAGTATTCCTCGGTTGTCCGTAGGTTGTTTCGGTGTTATTGATTCTCGAATCAAAGACACTTTACCAGATGGATCTATAAAATCTTCTCCTTCTGTAAGGCTCTTTGGTAATAATCTTGCCTTATACAATGCTTGCAAACAATCAATAATATTTTTCCACGATGCTCTCAACGCATCACCATGTAAATGCATGACTTTAAAAAGTGTACGTGTAGCTAATTGACATTTTCCATTATCTCCTACATGAATAACAACTTCCTTAGAACAGCTTTTACTACCTGTTGCTAACCCTGTGAATTTGCAGAGACTGATAACGAGGGTATCTAAGTCACTACTGGTGTTATAATGCGCACTTATCGCAGCACAGCTGAAATTAAAATAAATTAAAGTTTTATCTTTTTGTTAAAATATTACAAAAAATAAGAAAGTATGACTTACCTAAGAAATGCCTGAGCTACTCTACGTTGTAAAGCTTTATTTGGTGCTTTATCATATGCACTACACAAAGCACTTATAATTGGAGCCCATGCATGCTCTGCCAATTCCTTATCAGCAATCTCATTGGAATTTCCAATTTTCAAATATAAACTTTCCGGCCCAGTACCTCTACGTAATACCATCCTCCATAAGTAATTATCCTTTACCAAGCCAGTTCGCTCTTCTGGCATTACAATTTCTTCTCCCCTGTAAATTCATTCATAAATTATAAAATTCAACATGTAATTGAAAAACAATTAAAACCAATCTTTTTAAAATATTCACTTTATAGAAGAATATATCTCATCCAACAAATCTTGATCAAAAGCACCACCACCATTTAGTTCCCTTAAATTTTTCTTGAAATCCTCAGCAGTCATAGGAGTTTGTTGTTTTTTGACATTTTTATTGTGTTGATCAACATTTAACATAATTACTCCATATGCTAAAGAAAGTGCAGCGTCTGTTGAAGCAAATGGTTTGCCATTACTTTCCTACAACAATAAATAAAAGTAGTTTAATCATTAATTATCTATAATTATTATGTCTCATAACTTGCATTTAAAAATTAAAGAAATAAAAGACATTGATCATTATTGCATACGCACATGCCAATGCTCAGCGAACTTTTCAACCAAATGAAAAACAAGTGGAGCTTCACCAGGTAATCTAAAAGACTCTAAATAGAGCCTTAGACCTTGATCGATCCGAGTGTTTCTTAGATCGAAACTGTGCACAAAAGAATTAAGAATATTCTTATTCTCTTTCTTACTTAGATATTCGCCAATAATTTTTTTATCTAGTCCACGAGTTTCTTTCAAAAAGTTTGCAACTTTGTCTGGATCAGGATGTCCCAGAGTGCCTCCCAAAAGCCCATGCTCTGTAAGTTCCGCGATTCCTTTTCGAGGATTTTCATTAAACTTTTCTGTCCCTATTACTAACCACTAAAAATAAAAATTCATTATTCTATGCACTAAGTAATTTTAAGTAATATTTAAAAAAAAAACATACCCATTTATTCGTTTTTCTAGTAAGTAATTCTTCTTTCGTTGGAAGATTTTGTGAGTAATTATGCCTGGAAGATTTGCATAATTCTTTGTAACCTTTACATCTAATTTCAATGCCGGAAATAAGCATAAATATTGCATCCAAAGAAATGAATTGCATACTATGCATTTCACCCATAAGAGCAGAGGCATTCTATAAAAGAACAGTGAATAGGAAATTCAAATCTTTAATAACAATATCATAATTTCAATACTCTTATATTTTCTCTACATTAACGTACCTTAGAAAAAAATTTAATTAATTCTTCATAAAGATTTGTTGAATATAATCCACAATCATAATTTACATACAATTCTGCTGGTAATCCTGGTATTCTCCATAGTCTTACAATGGCTTCTATCATCGATAAAACAAGGAATCAATAACTGTAATGTCTAAAACACTGATATAAGGAGAAAAAAAATTGGTTTAAAAATTCAATAAATATTTACCAAGTGCTAATTCACGTTGTCCGTATGATATCCCGACGGAGTCCAAACTCACTATTTCTGTTAAAGTAAGTATATAATGCTCCATTTGAAATTTCAGATGTTCTCTTTGTGATTCAAATAATAGAAAAGACAGTTGTAAGTTTGCGGCAAGAATTGACATTTTGTCAGTCCCGAGAAGCTATTATAAAACAAAAAGGCCTATTAATATTTTTTAAATATGAAATCTATCATATTGACTATGTATATTTTTATTTGATCATATTATCATTTGCATATATATAATTTTTGTAATATGTATTTTTACCAAAATAAGATTCCGACAGAGATCATCCTTCATCAATGAAAGCAAAGATGGAAAGTTAGATAAAGCATCCGCTGCAATTTCCAATGCTACTTGCAATAAGTTAAGACCCAGATGAGTCATAACTTCATTATTTTGTTTATCAAGAGGACTACATAAAGAAACTAAGAATCTAAATAACTCGCGAATACACAAAGCACCATATGGCGCTAATTGCTGAAGTGGCATAAAACGAACTCCCTGAGTATTAATATATTCTTCTATTTGTTCTGGTTCTTTTGTTTTTGATATTTTAGACGTATTAATACTACTTTCGTCCATAGATAAATCTTCAACACTACCAACTGGTGACTGTATAGTATCAATACTTTTTTCCTCATCTATTGATCGTGTTTCTAAAAAAGAAGAAAAAACCAAAAATTTTATATATACATATAAAAATATATACATTAAAGTTTTATATAAATCAAGTATGTTTGTACCTTGACTCTCTATTACATTTTGTTTAAAAGAATTATTAGACTCTTCTTCTGATGTAACTTCCGCATGAATTATATCATCTTTCTCTACGATTTTTACTTCTACTTGCGAAATTTCATCTTTTTGTGATTCATTACCACTATCAATTTTCTCTATCTTACTGCAAACTTCTTTTTGTTTCGTATCACTCAATAAATTTTCTTGTTTCTGTTCCTCCAAAATTTCATCCTTAGCACACTCGTTTTTAACATTGTCGTTTTTATTATTACTTTCTTTGTTCTCATTTTTTTCATCTTCTATTTTATCAGATGATGTTCCATGATCTAAGGAACCTTGCATATCTACAATGTTTGCTCCTGAAGTAATAGGCGAAGTTGCTATATGCTCTGCTCTAACTTTATCAACTGAACTCAAAAGATGCGTTTCATCATCGATGTCATCTACATTTGATTTTAATCTTGGTTTTGAATGAATTTTGTTCTTTTTATGTTTAGTGCGTGTATTTTCCATACTCTTTGTTCTCATTTTCTATATAAAAAAAAAATAAAAAGAATATTGGATACCTGTCAGCTAAATCAAATTATTAACATACCTTCATACTCAATAATACTCTCGTGTCATCAGCGAACAATGGTAATCTAATGAAAAGATGCTGCACTATATCTCGTAAGCAGTGCTCTGCTGTACTTCTCAGAAGTTCTAAACATATAATATGAAATAACATTAAAATATGCTACATGTTTTATAAAAATTGTACGTTAGTGTGATTTTAATTAATGCATACCACTAAGGCGTGTTTCAAAACATATCCTAAAACAACTAAGCATTATTTCGCAAACACTTTCATCGGATAAATAATCTCCTGCTGGTGATAACATAAGTGCTTTCAAAACTTGCAATATCCTCATAAGAACAACTCCATCTCCTGATGCATCTGAACCTACGAATCTAGCATGAGTGACAGCATCAGCTATTGCTTCTACGCATGTTGCTATAGTAGAATGATCAGGATCTGAAATGATTGAATGAAATATATGAGGTCTCCAAAACTCAATATAAATTTCATATAAAAATAATGTAATACTTACTAACAAAGCCATAAGATATAAATTTGTTAATAGCAGACAACGCAAAACTGGTAATAAGTCCTGTAGTTTCTTCAGAACGTATGATTTCCAGAAATGGAGCTAAAAATACACTAGGTTCCAACTGAGACAAATCGTTTGCCTCATTCAATGCTTCCTTCAATGTTGACAAGCCTTTCATAAGAGGATCCCGATCATTACCCTTAATAATACAAATATATATATATCAATACCAAATAGTACAAATTTTATTTACAATATGAATTGTTTTCAAATATGATTTAAAACGACAAATGATTAATAATACTTAATATGTTTACTTTAATAAATTTTAAATCTGTCATTTAAAACCACCTGTCATACTAAAATTACAACCTGTTTGATTTAAAAGTGATTAAAATCCATATACTTAACGAAGAAGATAATAATAAACGATGATATACTTGAATGTGTTATTTTAATAATTGAACTTTAAAATAAATGTTTCTTTTATAGAAATAATTGACAAGGATGATTCTAACCTGATGAGAGGACCGTCGCATTGCTGCCGCCAGAAAATAAACCTCGCCCTCGACGACATGAAGGCCGCCTTCTGGGCAGGCCGTTTTTAAGATCCTACTCATCTTCACTTCTGCTATTACTTACACCATGTTTGTATTTAGGAAACCTTATAAGTAACTTAATAATTCGTAATGTCAAGTGTTGGGAGTGTAGAGCACTTCCAACACGACAATCATAGACTTCAGAATGCATGAAGATAAACTTTCTCTTCACGTCGTATTCCTTTCTGCATTACCGACCGATTTGTCGTAAAATTTAAAAAAGTTAAGCTTACCTTTAATTATTCAACATCAATATAAAAGACGAATAAATATTTAATAAATGAATATTATTAATTATTTTATTTATTCCATTAACAGAAATTAACAATCCTAAATATATTAGGTTAAAGTACAAAAAAGAAAAATATTCGTTCTTTTTAAATTGTTTATTTTTTCAAATGAAGAGAACAAAACAAATATATATTACACCAAATAAAGTTTCATTCTCATAGGACAGCTCAATTCAACGTATATGACTCTTATATTACGTACACCACGTATTTCTGCATTATTTGTCGATGTGCTGTATGTAATTTAATTTCATTGGTTAGTAAAAAACAAATTCAAGAAAATTAATGATAATTAGTAATCCTCGATTATAAATATTAATGCAGCGGATTACGATATTGTGACTCATAATTGTATCGACTCATCGATATTATTGCAACTTGCTGGACTATACTGACCAGTGATTTTAGAACTCACCTGATTGATTCAATTCTTCCAAATTTGGAGACATACATACGATATCCTACAGAAACAGTACCAATAAAAGGTAAATTTATTCTTATATAATTTTAAAAAATTCATTTATTCATTACAAGACTTACATTTACACATGTAATAATGACTTAAATAATCACTGTACACTTGCTGTTTTGCTTTATTAATAGAACACCCAATATTTGAATAACAAAAGAAAATTATTCATAGTTTTCTCTACATTAAAGCTTCTTAAATGTTTTTATTCATTGATTATCGAAAAACAAAAGACTTAACAAATTTTTGTATATAGGTAGTAGTCAACTTTTTTGAAAGAAAAATAATTTAAAATAAAAAAAAATGAATATCATTGTTTTTAATTTTGTCTAAAACAAAAAAGAAAAATTATTTTTAAAATTTGAATGAATCTTGGGTGTGGTCTTGATTATAAAGATAATTTTTTTATTTACAAGGATATATTATTACTTATTAAACATCTATGATAATGCATATAAAAAAAAATGTGTAATTGATCCTTGTAATAGTATATCAGCATGTATTCTTTTATACGAAATAAAATACGTGTAAATTTTTACAAAATCACTGTAGCTTTAATTGGTACCCTGGGAAATTTACCTAGTCCACATGATTCTGATTATAATAACTATGACAATGACTGTAAGTGAAAGTAGCTTTCAGAAAAAAGAATAGTAGTAATATAAACCATAACAATCAACTCTATAATATCATCTTAAGATAAATTAAGTTTATTGATCATAACTTACAATAAACATATATTAGGATAATTTAATATTTTTAGCTTAAATTCAATGGGTTTAGGTTCCAGTACGCAAAAAATCATGCCTGCAACAAGAGAAATGGTTGATCAATTGATCGCTTCAGATCAGATCGTTATATTCTCCAAAAAACTTTGTCCATATTGTAAAATGGCAAAACAGGTATGTTTCCTTTTTTATGTATTAAAGTTGATATGTTCATATTTATATATGTATATATTTCCAATAGGTATTTGATTCGCTGAACAAAAAATATACTGCCATTGAATTGGATGAAAGAGATGACGCAGAAGAAATCCAATCGGTATTGGGAGAAATAACAGGTGCGAGAACAGTTCCTAGGGTGTTTGTTAAAGGAGAATGTCTTGGTGGAGGTACTGATGTAAAGAAACTGTATGATAGTGGAGAATTACAGAAAAAATTGTAAATTCTTGCTACAAACCATGTACCTGGCATTTTTAATTAAAGCACACTTATAATTATAATATTTTTGCCACATATTCTATTCCCTATTGCATGATAATAATAACTAAATTCTATGTATAACAGCAATTTTATCAAATACATTGATTTGTAGCAATCACAATCATTTATCCATCGATAGACCATACTAAACATACAGAGATACATATATGTTCATTTCCTCTCACAGTAATTCCTTCATTTATGTAGCCTCAATATTAACATTATTATGTGAAGAAATGACTTCAGGAATTTCTCTGTGTAATTTATTTTGTAATCGCATAAAGTTACTTTTCTACCCAAGTAACAGCCAAATATATATTTAAAAATATAGAACTGATCCTTATTCTGAACAACTTATCATGGTTTCATTTGTGTTGTTTTTATGGGGTTATAGAATTTTATGGAATCAGAGGGATTACTGTATTTACATTTACATATATATTACAATTTTACATAAATTTGATAGTAAAGTATTATAAACAAACAAATTGGTAAACATAGAAGTAAAAGTAGTTCATTTATTTGAACCAAATAAAGAAATAATAAAGTATAAATAAATACTAGTAAATAAAAAAATGATACTTTAAAACATTTAAAAAACTGTTAATAATTATATATACCAATGTCTAATAAAAAAGTGAACTCTACGATTCCACCTATATGACATGTCTGAAACATATGATATTAAGCGATATACGTGTCTCCAATCACCACGTGTCTACAAACGTACATTTTACCTAAGTGAGCTAATTCACCTAAAAATATCTGCACATACGTATACCGAACAAACTGACTGTCTATCGAATATTTTAACGAGCAAACAACGATGGACTTTTCACAATATCGGAAAATATTGGTTTACATTTTGACATTTCTCGCTTATGCGTGGTCCGGTTATGGTGCTGGATTGTTGGGAAATCTACGAGATGCTGTATTAACGGCCGAATCAATATTTGAAGATCTTCTTGAGAATGCCGTAACCGTTGCGAAAAAAATCAAGGATATTCATGAAGTATTTGACGCTGCTGTCGAAGAAAATTGTATCTTCCATTGTCCCACAGGTACGTATAGATATTTACTACTAATAAGTACTACAAAAGTGTACCTTCTATCTATCGTTATCTCACGAAATCATTTTTATATTCTTTTATCGCGATTATATTATTGGTCGAGCAATTATAAAAAGAATATTACGGAAATAAAAATCTATTATAACAATTACATAATTTCATATAAATGTACATATTGCATTATATTATATTTCTATTATCGATCTAATAAAGATATAATAAAATCATAAATGCGTATGTGATATCAAAAATGAATACATGCGTCATTTATTTATGCACTCATTAATTAAGTGAAAATCTATAATAGGTTTGATATCTATGAATGGTAAATTTTATCTATTCATGAAATCCAATCCGTTAGACGTATTACATATGAACATGCTTATTGGTCGTCCATAAAATGTATACTGTGAATGTTTTTTAAATTGACTCGATTAATTGTATTTTCAGGAGTTACACCAAAAGCGGATTGGAATCACAAACCACAAAGTAATGGATGCGGTTCATTAGGAATAGAGGTTGTGGAATAATTTAAAAAGATTTTATATTTTATTTTAGAAAATTGTAAAGATTTAATGTAATTTATTATTTTTTTTTAAGATAAACCAAGAGTACCTACCTTTAGCAGAAATGACTAAATGTTGCGACCAACACGACATCTGTTATGATACATGTAATTCGGATAAAGACAAGTGTGATTTAGAATTTAAAAGATGTCTATATAAATATTGTGAAGGATATCAAAGTTCTGGAATAACTATTGTGAATACCTGCAAAACAGCCGCAAAAATGTTATTTACAGGTACTACAGCTTTAGGATGTAAAAGTTATATGGATGCTCAAAAAGAGGCTTGCTATTGCGGAGATAAGTGGAGTAAAAATAAAAAACCTAAAAAGGCTGCACATGCTGGTGGAGAATTGTGATCCACTTATATCTAATAATAATGCATATAAGTTTTATATTCCCTTCCTCTGTATATAATCCATTTCTGAGAGTATATCAAATGTTAGGTGGACCGGAAAGTAATGTCGTTTCTACAAATGTCAAATTTTGTATATTTTTATCAAAAATCGATTGATTTTTATCCATTTGATATTAAAAATTTGCATACCAGATGAAGAAAGGTTGTTAATAACGAGGTTGATTATGTTATTGATTAAAAATATAAATTTGTTAGAAATTTATTCGTTTCAATTTAAGGTTAGAAAGCGACATTACTTTCCGGTCCACCTAATATTTTATATTTAAAATATAAAAACGTTAAATTTTCTCTCTCTCTCTATATATATATATATATATATGTATATAAAAGTTTAAATATATTTTCTCTTTGTTTTGTGTATTAAAACTGATATGTATATATATTTTCAAATATCTTCATTGGTCGACCGTGAAATCATTTTTTTTGCCCATCAATTTTCATTTAAAAAACAAATGAATAATTTTTAGTTATAAATATGAACGTTACACCGTATTACAATGAAATTCGAGAAATTCCGAAAGACTTAAATTTTCAAGTAAAGCAATGCTTAATTACAATACGATCGCATAAGATACGAAAATAAAGTGGAGAATGGGAAACAGAAACTCCACGCAGCCATGTAAACCACATAACGACCAAAAAGGAAACGGTAACGACAGGCAAGATAATATTTATTTCGTTTTCTTTATTGTCCCTTCGACGAAAGGTTAATTCTGTCAATGTCGGTCATTTACTTAACTTATTTTAATTTTCATTAATATTAAATATAAAAGAAAAAAGTAAAAAAAAAAAAAAAAAAACAAACAAATAAAAGCAAGAGTACTATTCTAAAAATTCATCTCTTTACCTACGTTCATATTTATTACGTACTTCTTAATAGTTTAATCTTTAAAAAAAAGTATCAAATGAGATCAAAAGATATAAGTAAAAGACGCTTATGAAGTTAATAAAGAATAAATGTAAAAATTTACAAAAATATACTTTTTAGTTTTTACTTTGCGTAGCACAGGTTATCGCAATGGAAAAACGAAGAAATCGCAAAACGTGAATGATGTTAAACGAAATACACAGAACTTAACGAAGGATTTTATTGGACGTCGTTCCACAAATCCTTTTATTATTTTTTTCTTGCGACTGCGTAGCAAGAAACCCGATGAGCACGTAACGGTAATAGCACGAGCAGCGGGAAAATTATGGACGCGTATGTCTCCTGATCAAAGAAAAAAGTATATTGATTTAGCAAATGCCGAAAAAAAACGACGGGAAGATAGAAAACGAAAACGTAGATGCTCGACCAAGTATGTCTAACTAACACAGTTTTTATTTTATTCATGTCGTATATTTTCTTTTATACCAAATTAATGAAATTTGTCAAAACTTTTTTCACTTGGCGATATCTGCTCCCATCTGCCCTTTCCTATTTTATTTTAATCATTCTTTATTCTATATGTGAATTTAAGAAACGAATTTCTTGTTTACAGATTAAAACAATAATATATATTGCAGAGATGAGTTTGCCAAAAAAATGAAAACAGAAAAGTTTTATAATCGGATGATAAATAATAAAAAAAAAGCGAATGTGTATTGATACAGAAGGAAGCATACACTTTGATCGTGGTATTCATTGAATACGCACATACACATATATATTTATACACTACTCACGAATTTAATATTTTTTGATTTGTTTTTTATTTGTTAATATTTTTTTTGTTTAGATCTATGTACAATAAATATTGATGTATTTTTACACTATGACCTTCCTTATCGTTTACGAGTTATACTACAAACTAGGCGCAATTCGAACCTTCGCGCTCTTATTCTTTTTGTTTGAAAAAATTAAATTCAAACGCGTACCATAAATATATATATATATATAAATAATATATATATAATATATATATAATTTTTATAATATAATATATATATATTATTTGGTCTGCGGCCATTCCGCGAAGCGTTGTACACGAGAAAGGGGTAATTTGAATAAAAGTTATACGAACGAGCACCATATGCCCTTACTATGGTAAGGAGGAGATCGTCGACAATGCTATCTCTCACGCGTTTCAATACAAAAAATAATTTTCGCTAAACCCCGTAACGCTTCGTGGAATAACCAATCGTGCAGTCATAAACTTTTTCTGTTTGTTTATTTTTGTTTCTTCAAAACTAGTCTATCCCCTTGCGGTACTGAATAATAAAAATCTTACACATTATGATGAACGATAGATAAGCGAATAACGAATGCGCGAATGATGTATGTATAATGTGCAAGATGATTAAAATATAATAATCGGCTTATATAGTAAGAATAATATAATAATATATTAAAAGTAATAATAATGATAATAATGATAATAATGATAATAATAATAATAATAATAATAAAATAATAAAATAATAATAATAATATAACTACAATAATATTAACTAATTATTATTATTATTATTATTATAATAATTATAATATAATAATATTATTATTATTGTTATTTTATTATAATAATAATAATAATAATAACGCGCGCACACGATAACGCGACAAGTATAATATTAAAGATACTGATGTCGATGATAATGACGATAACGATGATGATGTCGATGAGGATGATAATGTTTATAATGACAATGACAATGATAGAATAATTTCTGATAATAGAATTATCATAGTGATAAGTAGTTTTATAATACAAGTAGAGTACAGCGTGCCCCGAAGTAAACGTAAACAACAATGTTCAACAATTTATAATATCAAACAGAATATTATTTGTAAGTATTTATATATTTATATATGTATATACATATAGATTGTTTATTTCATATATATATATATATATATATATGTATATATATATTGTGTATATATACATATACATATACATACACATATATATATATATATATATATATAACACGCAAAACATAACACGCGTTGATGTCGGGAGGATGAGATCCTGGTGAAGCATATGTATGAATTTACTTTGATCGATTTGATATTAAACACGTTTTATGCCACTTGATTATTATAATACTTTTTTTTATAATAATAATTGTTCTAATTCTGCAATCATTATGGAATAAATTATAATTAAAAATATATAGTGAGAATATGTATATGTATATGTATATATACACAATATATACATATATATATGTATATATACACAATATACATATATATATGTATATATACACAATATATACATATATATGTATATATACACAATATATACATATATATGTATATATGTATATACATATAATTAGTGGCATTACATATGATTTGAATGATAAATCATACAAAATTGATATGACATAGAAAGTATCAATCATTAAATGTACAAATTACAAAGTCATATTACCATGATAATCGTACCATGTTACTATATTTTACGTCAATACTGTTAATTTATATTTATGGTTTGTTGCTAATACATCCTCCCTTACAACATTATAAATAATCCCCTTTCGGAGAAAAAGTATTTTATTGATTCTAATAACGTATTCATTTACGATTAGTACTACCGAACTTTTTTTTCTTCATTCCTAGAATCACAAATGTCGTACAAAAAAGAGAGAAAAGGAAAAATAGAAAAAATAAAGAAAGAGAGAGAAACAAAATAGAGAAATCGATTTAAAGTAACAACTCGAAATAACGTTGAGTCTTCGCTTCGATCAACCATATCCTACTTTGTACTCTTTACTGTCACACTAAATGGTGTTTCTCCGAAATAGAAGAACGAGATAAAAAACGGCACTGTAAAAAGAGTAGCAACCGAGGCGATCTGTACATAAAATCCAAAGGATCTCTATAGTCGTGAATGCTTACATAGAACGAATCTGGAAGCAAAATCGGGGAAGTATGATAATCCGGGGTACGCTCGAGGTGATTGATGGCAACAAATGCGGAAGGTCGTGGTATCTTAGAGAGCGTTCACTTGTCCGATAAAATTAGTTCGTTGATCGGTTATGACAAATTGGAATAATTCGTCATTGAAAAAGAAATGGAAAATCAGTGAGCCGACTAGCGTGGCCTCATGGTTCCATTCAATGGCTGCATCGCCAGGCTTCCGTTAATATAGCCATGATACGTTGTGTACACCGCCGCTGGATTCTGCTGATGAGGATCCTGAGGATAGGGTGCAGGTACGTTTACAACACCAACGGGTAATTGACTCGCTTGGTTCATAAAACCACCCAATTGTGCTGCTTGATTCATGTATCCAGTAGTAGGTTGAGCGACTCGATATCCGTATGGTGCAGCAGCCATGAGATTCGTATTCAATGCCACATTCGGGCTGACCCTGCTTGCGGCACTCTGCATTTGTGAACAAGTGCTACCAGGGTCGAGAGTCTGTCGATAAAGACTATCGCTGGGATAAGGTTGAGTGAGAGATGGCATATTTGAATTAGACGATGACCTCGATGTCGATCTGCTAGGTGGCCCTGGTGTACCTGGTGGCACTGTGTTTACGTTGTAGTAATTTTTTGGATATCCTAAGGGTACCTGTGGAGGTGTTGGTAATTGCCTCGAAGTCTGTGGTGGCGTCATGGTATGTGGTATAGGCGGAGGAGGTGTCAAATTCATAGCTGGTGATGGCGTGGGTGGTATCATCTCCAACCCATTGGTTAATTGTTGTAATTTCGCCAAACTACAAGAATTCGTTGTCTGATGATTACCCGAACCCGAAAGAGACGGTGTCGGTGTATGATGCGGTGGCATCGGACTCGTTTGTATGTAGAAATTAGTTGCAGTGGTACATGGTGTTGGTGCGCCAGATCTACTGCTTCGATGTTGTATCACATAAGTGTTTTGGGTAGGGAAACCTTGTGACGCCACTGCCATGTAGTTTCCTTGTGAAATAACAGCCATATTATGAGAGTGAGCAGCATGCGTGTGTGAATGTGGATGAGGCACAGGTGGTACGCTCATAGAGGACGACTGTTGATATTGTGGTATGTGAGTTGAATGAGCTACAGTGGTGTGACTTGTATGCGATGATGTCGTATGTTGCGATGTTTGTGTATGCGGTGTTGGTGGTGTCGTTCGATGAGATCTACTTTGTTGAGTAGACCTTGATCTATGAGTTGTTTGAGAACCACTGGCTCTCTTATTGCTATGCGGTTGTTGGGCTTGCTGTTGTGGTTGTTGCTGCTGCTGCTGCTGCTGTTGCTGTTGTTGTTGTTGTTGCTGTTGTTGCTGATGAGTCGATGGTTGCTGTGGTTGCGTCGTCTGGGATTGCGTATGTGTCATACTTTGATTTTGTGTCTGTTGTGCCATTGATAACTGCATTGGTTGTGGAGTATGTGACTGTGGTAAGGGTTGAGGCGTATGACTTTGCGGCATTGGTTGGGGACTCTGAGTTGGTATGTTTTGAGGCGTATGAGATTGCGGAAGAGGTTGTGGCGTGTGAGATTGAGGAAGTGGCTGAGGTGTGTGACTTTGTGGTAATGGTTGTGGACTTTGTGTTGGTATACTTTGGGGTGTATGAGATTGTGGAGTTCGTGGTTGTTGAAGAGATTGTGGCGTATGAGGTTGATGCATCGAATGTATACTGACATGGGCTGGTGGTGTATGTTGTGGCATTGAACAATCAGCATACTGGACTTGCTGTGGCATGTTCACCGATACTGAAGTAGGTGGTGCTGTTATTTGCATTGAAACCGATATTGGAACTGTGACTGGTCCAGCTGGCATTGATGGTAATGCACTTGGTGGTCTTTCTACGCTGTTTTGCGATGCTAAATCACTGGCTATTGAAGTAGGAGATTCTAAGCCAAGCTGACTAACATCTAAATCACATTGGCCATAATGTAACGAATGTACGGAGTTTGTTGTGGAATCAGGTGTGTATACACCCATGGAAGGTAAATCCGGTTGTGAAGGTGGTGTTCTTTTTACCGAACCAGGATTTTCGAGATGTGGTGTTGTTTTACCACTCTCGGGTGAATGCTGTTTCAACTCTTCAGATTGATTTTGTAATTGTAATGTATCTTGTTGTTCCACAATCGTAACAAGCTTCTCTTGTGGAGTATGTGATTGCACCTCTGGAGAAGCTACATTTGGAGTTGAAAAAGGTTCTTTCTTTTCTGTAGGCGTAGAAGGAGATATTTCTGTCTTTAAATGAGTTGTATCATCTTCTTTCAAATTACCTTCTTTCAAATTAATAGATGGTTCGTAAATCATTGTTTCTTCTTTAGATGTATCTTTTTCTTGTGTGGAAATTTCTGTTTTCTTAACTTCGACTTCTTTTAATAAAGAGACTTCAGGTACCAATTTAGATGACTCCACACAATCGATAGACTTATCTATGTCAGAGTCTTTTTCCTGTACTTTCAAAATATCTTCTTGATCTCCAACAATTGGTATTTGAGGCTCTACATTTAATGAGTAAGATTTTTCCTTATCCTGATTATCATCACTTACGCGAACTTGGTCCAAATCTTCATTTCGTTCCTTTGACGCATTCTCCAACTCGCTTGAAAATTGTGCTACAGATTGTGTTTTTGGTGCAGGTACTTCTTCTTCTTCTTCATCTTCATCATTTTCTTCTTCATCATCTTCTTCTTCGCCATCGTCTTCGTCCCCACCTTCGTACTCTCCCGGACTTGCTGATGTCACTTCCGATCCCGTTGTAATTGGAACCGTCGCATTATCTTCTGTTATTTCAGGTTTACTATCTTCCACGTCGTTTATTTTTCCTGGTAACAGATCTGGAATAGGTAATTGTTTATCTGTAGAAGACGTATTTTTTATCTCTTCGGGAGGAGGAGACAGAGATGGAGGTGCTATGACTGGACTTTCAGCTCTATCTTTTGCAGGTGGTTCTGGTTTTAATTGTGGCATTTTAAGTGTTTCTACTACCGCTGCTTTTGCTCTTCCTCGCCTCGATATGGAAGACGTCTTAGCAACCTCTTTCGTATCTTGTTTCCCATTACATTGAATCTCTTCAGATATCTTTTTCTCTTTTGTTTGCTTAGCTTGTAAGCATTTAGACTGTCTACTAGTTACTTTTAGTAAAATGTCATCGACCTTGCACTGTTTCTTTGCTGGTTTTTGATTAACTGAGGGTGCTGGTGCTGTTATCTTCGGTGGTGTTTTACTTGTTTCCATAAGTTTTTCTTTTTGAAGATCTTTATCTTTAGATTTTTCTTTCTCTTTCAATTTATCTTTATCTTTATCTTTTTCTTTATCTCGCTCACGTTCTTGTTCTCGTCCTTTTTCTCTTAACGATTCTCGTGTTCTTTTTCTAGAAATCACTTCAGATTTTTCTTCCTTTTCTTCAGTTTCAACTTTTTCGGAATGTTTACGTTTTCTTAGAGGTGTAGTTGTTGTTGGTGTTTCCACTGCGGCGGTCTTCGCTACCCGAATTCTTCTCCTTGATATTGTCGAAGCAGGTGTAATTTTCGATAGAGGTGATGTATTAGTGTTTTTTGTAACGTTACTCCCACGTGCATTTCTTGGCGTTGATACGATAACCTTACGTTCCACTTCAGCTGAATGCTTTTCAATTTCCATGCCTGTATTATTACTTCGATTATCTTGATCTTGCTCTTTCGTTTCGCTTACTTCCATAACATCATTTGCCACCTTTGATTCTTTAGGCACTTTAGATTCTTCTCCTTTTTCATCCTTTGCAATTACCTTCTGTTGCGTAGATTTTATTGATGTCTTTGGTTTTAAAGTAGATGATTTTCGCTGTCCTATTCTTCTACCTCGTGGCTTTTTCTTTATCTTTACCCTTTGCATTTTTTCAACGACCGTTGCTACAGGTTTAGGTTCTATCGTTGGAGAAATTTCTGAACTAGCATCACCGCTTTCTTCGGGATTTTGATAAGGATTAGGTATTTGCGTTAATAATGGTATCCATCGCAAACAATCTGGATCGAGTTTAATTCGAGAACTCTTTTTTACTTTTGCCATATGTTCATCAACTTTATCCCAGTCTATTACAATGGCAATTTTAGAATTTCCTTCACCAGGCAAATGAACGGTTCTAATAAATCCTAATAATTGCATCGCTATACTAATATCGTGAGCAGATACACCAGTTTCTTTTGTTATATCAGATATTCTTATGTCAGTTACATTTCTGTGTGCATCTAAATACTCAAGCACAACACTTTTCCAAAAGGAATGGTATGATACACGCCCAAGATCAGATAAAGGTTTTTCCGGGGTACCAGGAATACCTTCGACTTTGGACAAAAGGTAACTGAATTCTATGAGAAATCTGCCAAAACCCTGCCTTTGATATTGCGGCAGGGTCATAATACAAGATACATTATACCTTTGGGCAGGACAATGTTTCTCTTTACTGAAATATCCTATTAAATGACAGCCTTGTTTGTCATTCTTCGTCACAGCATAAAATAAAAATGGTTCCACGTCATAATAAAGAGTTTTGTGATCTAAGAATAATTTTGCCAACAAACACAAGTTTTGACAATAAATCTTGTTCACATTGCCATCGATCTAGAAGAACAAAATAATAATGTTAGAGATTATATATTGATTAATAAATTATTTTTATACTTTTGTTAAATTAACATTAAATACCTCAAAAACAGACAATCCGTTGCACCTATAAATTTCTGTAGCAGGTGGATGCCTCCATTGACACTTATCCATATGCCTATCTAACACAGCACGGCTTTTTGTATATTTCAAACAAAATTCACAGAAGAATAATATTGGCAATCTCGCGTATTCTTGGGGAAATGGACTGGAGTACCACGTTTCTACTTCATAACGTCCAAAAACGATAGCTGCTGGATTTCGTGTATTGTTGCTACTTGTGCTAGATGTGATATGAATAGACAGAGGTTCTTCATCCTCCCCGGTGGTGACTGTCAACTGTGTTGCTCTATCGCGAGCATCTTTGAATAATTCTACATCTTTTTGTGTCACTCCAGGTGGTAAAGTTTGGGATACGATTGGTTCATCTGTAAAACAAAAAATATAAAGTTCTTTCTTTAAAAAACATTATTTTAAATAAAATATAGACAATAAAGAAATTATTATAGTAAAATATCTATTGAATTCAGCTTGATAATTAAATAAAACTTATATGAAACAATAATGCTATGAACGATGTTACGATTAATGATATATATTCGATAAATTTGGTCTTTCTACGTAAGAATACATACATAATATGTATATCAATGTACTAAATTAATACGTAAAAAACATCTTAATGTTAATTAAATACGACAATGTCTCTTGCATTTGTAGATGGAATATATGTCTATGTATAATAATATTGAATTGTATAACCTCATATTAGAAAAATTATCTACAAGACACAAAATTTAAAATTTTTTACAATTCTGAGAATATGTTTGAAACCATTAGACACTATAATATTTACACATTACAGAAATAAATGGAAGAATTGAAATCGTTTAACGATATTTATCATTAATTATTGTAAATCGAAAAAAATGGATTTAATTGGCAAGCAGAGGTTTGACCAACAGCATTAGGAGTCTCAGGCGGCAATAAAAGCTGCGATAAACTGATGTTATTCCTGTTAATATCGTCAGTAGTCTTTTTAACAGCGAAGCTTTAAGGTAAATTTTATGGGATGTGTTGGCAGAGTATTAAACTTGGCTTTTATATTGCAGGGATAATTTTATAATTTGGATTGGTGAGTTACGGCAACAGTGCCTGCTTGATGTCAGCAGCAGCAGGTAGAGGCTTCAGTTTGAGCGGTTTAAAGACGGCTGAGTGAGATATGCCACCAAATAGTCTTTCTTCGCCCTGTAATCTGCTTATTATAGTTACTTCCATATTTTATTACCAGGATATAAGGGTAAAGGATTGAAGTTGGAGGCTCTGACAAGGTTTGATGAAGCATCAATTTGTACAAGGATAACAACATGTTTTCATATGATACTATATCATTTATAATAAAAATCATATTAGAATAATTTTCCGATATAACTTCTTTCAGAATAATCACTTCCGGTTCTTCAAAAAAACAAGCATTTTTTAAATTGTAGATTTTAAATAAAATTTGAAAAAAATTATGTCTTTATAGAATAAAACTAATAAAAGTATCATATAAAGTTGTGGAAGTTACATGTGTATTGCCGTGTACACTTATGCATGCATTAATCGCGTGCTTCATCTTTTCGGGATGAGTAATTATAATGTGTATATCTCAAATTCAAAACATGCATTACAGTGATCGTATAAATGGTATAAAACAAATGGAGACAAATAAGAATGATAAGTTTGCGTGTATGTAAGTGTTTTTTCTTTTTTTTTTTTTAAATAATGCCACGTAGAGAAATTGTTTCCATTGATTTTACACCAGATGTTAGAAAAACACTTTTAAAGGATTCGTCAGAAAATGAGTCTATAATACAGATATGTGAATGTATATATACATATAATGTGAATAAAATAAAAAAGCTCTAGAGCCGGAATAATCGTGTTACGTTGAAAGAAGCTACGCTCATCGGACGCACGTGTACACACACATCATACCACACCACACCGCCAACACATCCACGTGGTGGTGAGCGAGGATTAGATTAGAGGGAAGTCTTCATTGCGACTTGGGTGCATCTCGGGGTTAGGAAGTGTGAATGGGTGGGGTAGACTCTTACCCTTCTTGGTGGAGCAGGGTGTCGCGCGGGGTGTCGTGGTGGTGTTGGTGGTGATGGCGCTAGTACAGGCTCTTGGATTAGGCTTAAGGTTAGGATTAGATTTGACGGAGGAGTCGGAGTACAGGCCGGATTTCGGAGTAGCGGGCGCAGGGTGGCGTGACTGAGCTGCCGCCTCTGAGACCTTTTCTTTTTTTCGCGAGTTTTGCTGTTGTTGTTCGTGCTTCATTGATGAAGACAGCGATGAGGATGGTGAGGATACATCAACGTCAGCACACTTTACTAAAGACGTATCATCTTTCATTAATTTTCTTCTTTCGTGCTCATGTCTTTTACTATTGACCGCGGTCTTAACTAAATTTGACGGAGTCATTTTTGTTGGTTTCTCATTATTGTTCATAGAACCGAACAAGCTTTCATTCGAAGGTACAAAAATACCTGGTCTCGGGGTTCTAGATACTAAATTTTCATTGCTACCTTCGATTTTTCTCCGCTCTTTCGACTTGTTCCTGGCACCGGGCGATACTTCCCTCTTGCCTCTTTGTCCCGTCGTAGTAGTTTTAAAAACTTTGTTCGTTTTATTCCCATCGTCAGTGTTGGACCTTTTCCTTCTGCCGGGTGCGTAATTTGGTGCATGAGCACCTGTTCTCGCTCTACTATTAGTGGGAGCTGAAAAGAAATGACTTAATCCATCGAAGAGGCTTTTTAGCTGACCGGTTCCAGGCTTTATCTTACTATCCATGCTAGCGAAACTATTCGTCGTACTTTTCTGCTTCTTTGTGCTGTCCTGAATAGCGGCTGGCTGTATATGAATACCAAAGGTCGGTGTATTGCTTACATTGAGTTTAGGTAAAGGCGCACCGAAAGTATTGTTGATATTGCTAAAGAAAGGAGATTCCGTGTTCAACTTGGCAGCAGCCGCGGCGAAGCCCCAAGGTTTATCCTCGTTAAGATCACAAGAAAAGGGGCCCTTTGGTTTCGGCGTTTCGTTCTGCTCCTCCTCTCGACTCTCTTCCGAAGAAGATGAGCCGCTGGATTCGCTTGAACTATTACCCTCCTCCTCCTCCTCCTCCTCCTCCTCCTCCTCATCATCATCATCATCTGTACTATCACTCCCGTCAGAACTGTCGCTCTCACTGGCCTCACTGCTACTGCTGCTGCTACTACTAGATAGTGGTACACTTTTACTGGGCACGACTTTCTTCAAATTTGCGTTACCCCGTGTCGACCTAGGACTAACGTTCTGTGAGGGTTTACATTTATCACCGCCCCCCACCCGCTTTAATTTGTTGTGATCCGCGTTGAACACGCTCAGCCTAAAGAATTTTTGTTTTTCCTTAGAAATTCGGTCGTTCTTTTCTTCGAGCAGCCTACCCTGGCCTGCGAGTGGGGTGGGGGGTTGTGGTAAAGGAGAAGGAATCAAAGGTAGTTGACGAGGGGAGACAACACCCGCATTACCGTCCGAGCTGCAGTCCACCTGAGCCACTCCTGAGTTTCCTTTCTTGTTCGGGGTTGACGCTACCAGGCTTTTTCTGGATACAGTAGACCTACGGTTATACAACAGGGTAGATTTGTCAATAACTCATAGCGCTTTATCTGCTTCGGTTGTAATTTCAGACTAACAAGGGAAGGATCTGAAGTGATAAATACTATTCTGATTTATCATTTATATAGGAATAATAATTCTCAATGATCTTTCAAAGAACTTAAACACTTAAATGATTTGATGCTAAGCAATAAATTTCTTTATATTAACCATAAGTTATATACGAAAAAAAGTAAAGAGTTTCCACAGGAAGGCTTTTGATCCAATGAAAAAAGTTCAAAAAAACATTTTTAAATAAAATACACAACACTGACAGTATTTCCACTGTAAATCCTTCCATGTCAAATATAATTAAACCGAATAAATCATCTAAATAATTATTTTCTCATCGCTTACTTTCTATTTTCACGCAATTTGCAGAGTCTCTTTCTCGCACTCGTCGGCGTTTCTTCAAGTACAGTAGTATCCTGCGATTTGCGCCTCTTTCCATCTTCCTTGGAAACTGGAGTATGCGCTGTTTGACAATGTCGACATCTCCAAGGCGCCTTACTCTTCTTATCCAAAGCGGGATCCAAACAAGTAGGATGATAACATTTCACGCAGCCGGCACACTTTACCAAATAATTCTGAGACTCTCGTTCTAACTGACAGCCCGCACAAATTGATGAACAACCATCGCACGACCATGTTATACCCCTATCAACGAGTATCGAAAGTTCGGGTGGTGCACAAGAATTATGTAACGCGGCACCGCAGACGCTACACCTGCTTAATTTTTCCGACGTACTACCACTGGAAGTGCTGTTACGCTTAGTATTGTTGTTATTGCTGGCTACTGTTGCACCAAGACATTCTCTGCATATTGGAAGAGGAGCTGGTAACTGTAAAGAAAAAAATAAATCTTGATAAAACTATGAAGCGAAGATAATAATTAAATAAATACGAAAAAGAGTTTGAATAACGTCGTCAACATGACAATTCAATCTTAAGTGGCCGTTCAAGATTGTTTAGGGTAAGCAAGCAATCATATACCCTTCACTATGTAATATAATCTCTCTTTACGAGACGATGAGAGAAGAACAGGCAATAAATCATAGAACAATGTTGATGTTAAGCTTTCTACTATAAATAGCCTAATCTAGACACGATGGTTTCTATGAGACAAGAATGTAAGATTATAATCAAGCAGTTGCATGTCACAACTACAATGTCATGGAAAGCTATCATTACAACAGCTTATGTTTTTTATTGTGAAGAAATGTTTACGTATAAACTTCACGTTGGCTTTTCGTAAATTTGTTTATTTGATTGGAAAAGAAGTACAAATATTTGTACAAAGTATTAGAGCAAACGAGTTTGGATCATAAAACATAACTCTCATCGCAGTACTATGACCTTCGCTACCACTGCTCGAGCCAACACCGCTATATCCTTTGCACGTTCGACACAACGAGGGTGCATCTTATTAAAGGTATAAGCCCCTCATTCTCAAGGTATAACTAACGCGTGGAATTAATTTAGAGCAAATTTCGAATTTCAGTAAGCGTGCAAACAGAAAATATAATAAAAAAATAAAACAAAAATGAGGACAGCTATTAATAATTATCAAAAATGATAAAATCAAATTTTATTCGTATCATTATACTATTTTTTTCTATATCTTTTTACCGAAAATAAATAACAAGGAAAATCTCGCACAACAAATTAATTTCCTTCTCACTCATATCTGATCAGTCACACCTCTTAACTGCTTAGATTTCTTAAAACGCGTAACGAAAATTAATACCTTTGTTTTAATTGATTTGATCTAACTTAACAAGGATCATAAAGCGAAAACGATACTATTTCCACTTTATACTACTTTACAAAGATATTTCAAAGAAATTGAGGATATGTAGTCAAGCAACGGTTAGATTATCCTACTTCGGTAAAAACTAAAAGGCCATATGGCGTGATACGTGTCACGCATGTTGCATTTCACGGTTGGCTCTGTTGTGAACACATTAAAATACGCGTACGCGATGAGTTCTATTTGATTGTGAGAAAATATTCAATATTGGAATTTTCAAATTAAATAAATAAATTGATTGAAAGAATATCAATTGTAATACAAATTTATTTGTAAATTACTCCCTGAACTTATCTTACACGCCACACACAATAAATATATATATATATATTAGATATAGAAATTAATTCTATCTAATATATTTATATATCATAATACGTACAAATATGACAAGAAGTAACGGTAAATACTCGTAGTATTTCTTAAATACATAATTAGTATCATGCAATTCGATACCGAGTTTGAAAAAATATTGAGCATGCAATACAATGCATTACAAACTGGCGAATGCACATAGTTACACGCGATTCAAAAATAGCTGGGTAAATGTTTTTGTTTATTAATAATGGAACGCGAAAGTTCGACGTACAAGCTAACGTACGCACTTCTTACGCGTAATCTTATCGTTATGATGTAACTGCATGATGATCTATGAAAGATCTTGGGAACAATCAAGATGATAATCACGATTTTTTGATTCGCGTGAAAATATCGCTCCGAGGGAAATAATCATGAACTCGAGACATTAGAGGTTAATGATCTCTCGAGAATCTCGTTATATACAGGGTGTACACGAATTGGTGATACAATGGCGAAGATTATGATTACATACATTAAAAAATAAGTCAAAAATGAAGAAAAATTTGTCTTTACGGAGCACCATTATTGAGAAAAATTACTTTGAAAGTTCACAAGAAATGGATAAACTCAATTATGTTTCTACTCCGCGTATTTCGCTGTAGACGATACTTCCTCGGGTTTATGTTTGTAAACATAGCCAATATTATAACTTTTGCTTATTATTTCTTTTTGTTGCTATTATAGTTGGCAATTAACGATACAAGATGTATCGTCGTGATTGTACCACCAGTTCAAGTACACACTGTATATACCGAGAGAATTATATCTAATGTGATCACATTTATTTGTTGTAAAATTAAATAGAAAAAAAAATAGATAAGAAGATATTTTACAAGAATTAGATAAAAATATACTGCAGTCGATTTATATTGCTATCTTAAAAATTGTAAACAAAACTATAAAATTGGTAAAGAAATTTGATGATTTCCTCTATACGTAAGAATATAAGTGTAAAAGGTGAATGAGTCTTATAATAAATATTATACTTCATCATTTAAATATGTTAAAAGATCCATAACGGTGAGAACGTAATAGTTCATAGTTTTATGTTGTTTCACAAAGTTTCACAACTTTGCATTTCAATGGAATAAATAGATGTGTAACAGTCGGAAAGAGAGTGCACGTGACGTGTTCCATCTTTCGGTCCAACGACCTGTTGCTCTATAGATGCCTACAGAGAATCAAATAACCGTCGTTGTACCGTTCGACTCGTTGATCGGATTACGTCCCTTTCCATGTTATATATTTTACTGTAAGTACTTAAATTGAAATTTTAATTTTCTCTTGCAGGCGGACAAGTTAAATTTGCAATTTATTCGCAAGAATTTTTTTTTTTTGCCATACGCGAGTACGTTACGTTTAAAAGAAAGAGAAAAGGAAAGGAGAAAAAAAAACTGGAAGAGAAAAGTGTGTCGAATTACGTGATACGAACTACGTCATATCGTAATTTACATTATTGCAAAAAACGACAGTTATATCGAAAAAGAAAAAGAAAAAAAAAGTGTGAGCATTTTTATGAATAAAGTTATATCGAAAAATGCGCGGGAAAGGGAGAGCACGTGCAAAGTGGCGACGCATAACGGCAGAAGGAAAAAGCTATATAGGTAGGTAAGAGAACCGCGATTGGCAGTCCCGCGTCTGCGTACACCGTTTTTGAGATTACTCCGCGTTCTCCGTCAGCGGACAGCACGTAAAACACGAGCGCCGCAACGGGCCACGCGAGCAGGTGAGAAGAATACGAGAAGGGGGGAATGTGTATATGTGTATACGTCGAGTGATTCCATGCGCGCAAAGGATCAATAAGAGAAGCGATATACAAACGACTCGCCGGAAGTCGGTCGAGATAGCGCATCGTCGCTCCCCTCTTTGCCTCTCCAACAGCTTTCTTCATCTCTCTCTCTTTCCCTCTTGCCCCGAACAAACAGTTTCGTTCAAAAGAGAAAGAGATGAAAGAATTCTATGGCCTTATGCCTCCTCTCCTTCTCTTCCATACCCTTCCACCTCTCATCATACTACACTACGCTCCATACATTCTTCCTTCCCTCAGCCAAGAGACTTCTCAAGGCGTGGGCATACGGCGTGACTTGGCCAACCGCGCGAAGAAAGGACTGGTAACAAGCGCGTAATATTTTCTTGCTTGATTCGTACGAAAAGACTTTGAACGTTATACCCCGCGCGCCTACCGTGTTCGGCCATCTTTGCTGTTTTAGTTTCTTCTTTGTATTCGTCTGTTAGTTCATTTGTTGGGGGGTCATGTCATGTTCTCTTTTTCCATGAGCAAATATATATGAATAATTTCGACATTCTAAAAAAGCAAAAACTAAAGAAAACTTTATCCCACTTTCTATAAACTTGACGAATCTCTCTCGACTATTATTTATTTTATTTTATTCTTTGTCATATTTTATATCGTGATCCTATAATTTAATGGAGCTCGAATATTTTTGTTGACGTAAAGACATAATTTTTCTTCTTACTATTCTATTGTTTTTTAAATATAAGAACTGTATTCTTTTACAATTGCAGGAAAATTTAATTCTTCTTAATTGATATGGATTATTAAGGAGTTCTATAAACAGAACACAATAATACAATATATGCCTCTAAAAGAGACAGGAAACCGACTAACAACTGACGCAAATGCCGAGAGTTTGTTACAGAATTTATGACCACTCGCAATCAGAAAAAAAAGAGAGAGGGTGGGAGTAGTGCTGGTACGCCAACCGCGAAAAATGTATCGACCCGTTACCCTTTCGCTGTACGATTTCATTCCATTTTTACGCTACTGTTAGCGTTTATTATTTCAATGAATTTGATTTAAAATGTGATGATTTCAAATTTTTTCTCCACTGCGATAATATGTCATTTAAGAAACTTCACCATCTTGCTGATCGTTTCCCGGAGAGGTTTTACATTGTATCCTTTTATACATATTACTAGCGATTAAAATTGCCAACTATTCTTTTGTGAGTCATTCGAGTCAGTGACATAAGTAGTAAGAAGCCACTTCAACAAAGAAATAATTATAACAGAGTTGTGAGCGAAAAATCAAGTTTTAACTACTATATTTTATCCTAAAGGTGTTTTTTACCACAATTTTGAAAAAAAAATAACGTTGTTTAGCTTTTAGCAGTAAATTGAAAATATTTCTCTTCTTATTTATCGGTTATTACTGCGTTGTAGCTTGAAGAACAAAACCTGAATTTGTGAGTAATATTAACAATAAGATTAAAAAAATGCTAGCTAAACGTTAGTTTGTTTCTTATGATAAACTGGACTAATATGTATACTTTTCTTACAAAACACGTGATTACAATTAATTGCTCTACATTGTGCCACTAATTAGAAAGATTAAATAGATATTAATATCCAAAGAAAAATGTCTACGAACAATCTAAATAATCTTTAACAATATCATATATAAAATATGCGTAATTTAATGAATCGTAGTACTTAATTAATAATAGTAAAAAAAACTTGCTGATTTTGTAAGCATAGCATTCTATCTAAGAATATTTTAATTAAAAATAACATTTAACAAACTAACCACGTGATCATCGACATCTTTATTGCCATTGATGATTATAAATGTGAACGAAGCGTATTTAAGATTAATGGATCGTCCTCGACCTATTTTTCGGCAAACATTACAAACAGACGTATTCGTGATTCTGGGTGAGCTGAAGATTTGAATGGAAATTAAAATTCTAGCTACTTTCCTTGGGTTATCAAGCGTACGCGTTTTTGAGATAAGAGAAGGGATAAAAGGCATAGGAAGGTCTAGTTTCCCTCACCAAGTTGTCGAGTTCAAGGTCACGAAAAACACACTCCATCAGTGAAATACGAGAAGTAATATTACTGACCTTGGGCGCAGGAGGTTCCTGAGACTGGCTGTGATGGGCAGCTCCTTCAGCAGCACCACCACCAGATTTCTTGTGATACGGGGGCCTGTCGGGTTGCCTAAACAGCCTACCGTCTTGAAGAACGAATCCTCTTTCGACCGCCCTTTTCGCGGAGAGTCTCAGAGCTGTCCTGAGATCTCCTTCAGCTTCTTCTTCCACTGTATGACTCTGTCTGATATACTTTTCGATGTTTTTCAGACTTGAGCCATCTCTTTCACCAAGCTCTCTCACAGCCTTTCCTAAGACCTTACTTAGGTCAGTCCCTTTTCCAACTTTTAATGGTTTCGATTGCAAACCACCAGGATCCTTATAAGATGATTGGCCCTTGTTGAAAATTTTAAGAACATCACCACGTCTCACGGCGACCTCGAGATGTTCCCCTATCTCTTCCTCGTGAAAATTGTGATGTTGTCTTATTGCGTGACATATACGCTCGACGCTCGGCCTCTGTTTCTGGCTACGAATTTTTCGTATTGCATCCAGAAACCAGGTCGACCATGTTTCGGCTGACTGGCTCCCATCCATGTCGGATCGTCACCGGAAGCAAGGCTACCGGAGAAAAAGAGGACTGTCTCCGAGCCTGATATATTATATATCTAGGCTCGGCTATGTTTGGTCCCGAACTCGCGACATTCTTCACATCCTACCAACAGCAAAGTCCATTGTCATTTGTCACTTTCTTAATTTATATTTCTCTTACACTTTTCCTTTTTCTTTTTTTCTTGTTTTCTTTAAGAAATTTCCTGAAAAAAGAAAAAACAAAAGGATAAATATTTAAATATTTTTGTTCACCTAAAAATCAAATTGAAATATTAATCGTTAAAAGTCAGATCGAGCATAACATGTAGTCAATTGATCAACGTGACGACTATTTTAAAGACGTGGCCATGTTACGGATACGAAAAGTATCCAAGCGAAAGTCTCACGGATTGCCATGTTGGTCTAACGATCGATTATCTTGCGCATTGTCACTTTATCTAAATAAGATCTAGAATTTATAGCGAATCACTAAAAATGATTTGAGAAATTTATACATAAATGAGTCTTATTCGAATTAACAGATGGTATCGTTAATCTCTAGCATGTTTTATTTTGATCAAATTTTCAATTAAAAGTGTAGTTTTAGTAAACTTCATTAAAATTAATGAAAATTTTGTTAAAACTATGTATAATTGGACCAAGTCATATGGAAAGCACACCAACCCATAACAATTTGAAAGATTCAAATTTCAAGATTTTAACTTAAGACAAAGAGTGGCTTTATTCCTATTGGATCATTAGTTATATGTTAATGAGTAATATAATTTATATTATTTACAATGTGGTTAAATTTGTAAGTCTAAAATAAAAAGAACAGCTTGGTAGGCTTAATGATCCTATAATGTAAAAGTTGTTCTATAAGTTGATAATTTTGTATTAAATGAAGATAAATTTGTATATAATTTAGCTCAATTTTTATTAGTTTATTCTAATTACTTATTCACAATATTATTTATAGATTTCAAAAATTGAATTTCTTTTAAAAAAGGGAGTTAAGTTAAGAATATACAAAAGTGATTCAAGTAAAATGATTTAAATAATTATGTATAGTTACGTAATATATAAAAACGATACTTATTGATAGATCTTTATCAGAAATAAATAGCAACATTGTATCGAACTTTGATCATGTCTTTCTTTCCCACGTTCTTTGACGCGTTAGCCTTTATCCTCTAGCTTTCACTCGACGAATCTACGTACCAGTACCTACTATTATATCGATTAACAATCGATCGGTGAAATATTCGTGATTCTAAAGCTTGACGAAAAGCATCATCATCTAACCTAACCTTCAAAAGGTTAAAGTATCGGTTCGAGGACGAAAGAAAGGATTTTAAAGGTTGCCATCTATCCAGAGAAACGAACATGATCACGAAACTATTACGTCGTAAAACGATCTCTGTTTTCTCCGACTTTCTCCTATGAGTTAGATATCATTCTCCTTTCCCTACACCATAGAAGAAAACGAGTACGTGGAATAAAGTAATATATAGAGAATCAAAGAACGGCGAAAAATATTTCTAATCGCGAGCTAATGTATTACAAGTAACCATATTGCACAACACGAACCGACCTATAGGTGAATGCGAGACCTCACTAGTTTGATCTCGCATACGCACTTAATACTACACATACCAAATACAGGGTGTTCGAAAAAAAACTATTCAATATTTATACAGTATATAGAACGCACTATACTGATTAAAAGTCTTAGTAACCATAGGTTGAAAAATCAACTGTTTCTGACATATCAAAATGTTTTTTTAATATTAGTATTATGATTTACTTATTGGCTTCTTAAAGCACTTAAACACTGTATTCAATCAAAGATAGATTAGACATAGTGAACCAGTTGCATGGCCCACTAGATCCCCCTAGGATTTCAACTCAGAATTTCTTTCTTTTTAGAATATTTGAAAAGCAAAGTATATTACTCGTTGTTAAAAAACTTAGTAGAATTACGAAATCAACTCCACAGTGCTTGTTTCATCATCTATCTGAGGTGTGGAATTTTTAAGAGAGTTTGCGACTCTATAAAAAGATGTTAAATATTTATGGAAATAGAAGGAGGACATGTGGAACACCTTCTGTAAATCCAAAAGCTAGAAAAATAAGTCAATTATAATACCAACATACCAAAATGTTTATATCTTAGAAATAGTTGACTTTTCGGCCTATGATTACTAAGACCTTTTTTAACTTACAGTTAGTATAGTGTGTTATTATTGTTATTATTATTAACTAGTGTTAGGAACTCGTAAGCTCATTGCAGCAAATACTAAATCCCGCCAATGTTCCCATCTCTGCGTCAAATCCCTCCTTTCGCGACTCTTGTACCCCATTTCGTTGAGATTTATCTCCTAATATTATCTTTCCACCTACGTCTTGGTCTACCCAATGGTCTTTTCCCATTAGGTTTACTGCTTAGTATTTTATACACGATTCGATCCTTATCTATACGCATCAAGTAACTTGCCCATCTTAATCGATGCAATTATATGACGTTAACGATATCCGGACTACTGTACAATTGGCGTATATTTACGTTATGATGATTTTTTGAAGTACTTTATTTTCAAATACCCTAAATTTTGTCTCATTTTATAACGTAAACAACCATAGTGTTTTATATACGCTTTATAAATATTGATTAGTTTTTTTTTAGCACAATTGTTTTTATTTTTTATTTTTATTAAAACAATACAGAGCATGATACAAAAATTCAAATAGATAAACCATAAATGAAAAATGTTAAATACAACGCCCCTTTACAATACAGCTTTAAGGGTTATTACTCCTACCACCAACGCCTTTATTATCTGCTATTCTTTAATAATATTACCTTTTGTAGAATGTTAGCATTCCTGATACGCATAAGTCAATGCCTCCGGTGCTTAGGTTTCGAGCTGATCGTATCAAATATGTTCATGGTTATTCATTGAAATAAAAGCTGAGTAAAATGCAATTTTAAATCGTAAAAAGTAAATAAATATATTTTATTTATTGCAAAAATTGTTTAAAATATTATTTTAAATGTTGTTTTATTTCAAATATACTGAAGATATTTGTGCTAAGGTTTGGAATATTTAATGAAATATATATACGAGTATTGCGAATTCTTACGTTTTCTTGTTTTGCATTGTAAATCATTTATTCAATTTATCTTCACTAAGGACTGTTAAAAATATAATACTTCAAATTAAAACATAAAATATTTTATTTTATAATTTATACTATCGAAATAAAATATTTTATTTATTGAAAGTTTATTTTTTATTTGAAATACTATTTTACTTCAATTATGAAAAATCTACTACTTAAGATAGTATTTCCAATATTATTTCCATAAATGTTACCCAGCTCTGATTAAAATGTTTTTTTTTTCTAAATATAATTGTTCAAAGGACTTAAAAAGCTATTATCCAGTAAGATTGAACTATGATCGAAAGAATAGGTTTTTTTTTTTTAAATAAAATGAAATAAAGAAGGATAACAAAGTTCAATAATCTAACTGAGCCACTCATATGTCAATATATTATTTATTATTGAATAACCGTAAAAAATTGTTCTTATTTGGTGATTTTCAATCTAATTAATAAAGAAAATTTATTTAAGATATAAAAAGGTAAGTGTATTGAGCAATTGCTTAGCTAATAAAATTTAAAAATATTCTATAAGTAGAATTTATCGCTTTGACCTATGAACGATTCATCTCTTCTTTTAACCTATTGTCATTTTAGCATAACCAACCATTAAAAAAAATAACCCAACTATGTGTGAACAAACATTAGAGCTTTCAATAGGAAGAGGAATACGTTCCGATCCATAACTTTGAGTCACGAAAACTCGATCGTCAAACACGGATGCATTATCGTAATTCTACGAGTAACTACGATATAAATGCCACCCACCATCTCAAAGATCTTACCGTGATAGGTTTCACGATCTTTCTTATTTTTCTTTATTTTTTTCACCTCTTCTTGCGCCTGCAATAGTCAATTTAATTCATCAACGTCACTACATATAATGTTCAGTTTCAAAGTTTTTATCTGTTGTTTGATCTTTCTTTTTCCCTTAGAAAAAAAAATATGACTTTGTTCATAAAGATAACATCTTATTAAAAAATTAATTGCGATAATTAATAATACAGAAATCTATCGATCTTCAAAAGGACAAGCAATTAGTTAAACATAAGGGGGAGTCTTATAATTTAATGATTTGTAAAAACAGCATCAAATTACAAAGCTATAAGATTATTAAAACTAGCAAAACATAGCTATTTTTTTGTCAACTTTAGGTCAGTCCAATAAAATAAAAAATTTTAAATTAATACTTCTCTTTAATAAATAAACCGTTTAAAAACATAGCAAAACGACAAAAATTAAAATACATCCAATAAAAATATAAAAAAAAAAGCCATCGTTTCTTTAATTCAAATCTTCAAATTAAATTTACAAAATTTTCATCACTCATTCAGTCATTGAAGGTTAGTAGCTTACTGTATAATTTGATCGAATTAATGATATTGAAGTTTAAAATTAAGAATATTTCAATTTTCCCGCCAAATCAATACCGTCAACTTGTACACCATATAATCGTCCAAATGCAAAATCAATCGATCAATCAATCAGTTAAATGACAGGGACCTTTAAAAATCTTATCGAAAAGTGAAAAGCGACGCGCTATCATTTGTTTCAATTCATTTCGAAAAATATAAATGTGATGCGATAGCGCACATTTCAATGCATGTCAATGGTATAAGCGTACCGTCAATTGCGCAACGCAGTCCGATACTCTAGCACTTATTGTTAAACGGTTAATACCTCATCTTATCAACGAATGTCACAAATGTATATATTCATTTTATCAAGATTTTGACTTCGAACTTGCTTACAAAACTTTCTTTTAACTAGATATACCAGACCAGTCATTTTGACTGATCTGGTTACTTTAATTCAAAATTTCTACTTCATGTAACATTTGATTTCTGTAAATAATTAAGCGTTTTGTTATTTAAAAATGTCTATAAATCCATTTATCTATTAAAATTATTATTGTTAAACATTTTTTGTTATTTTTTTAAGAATAAATAAAGATTGGAAGCAAAGCTCAAAAAGCATTTTTTTTATACACCAGTCATTTTGACTAGTGTTGTAGAAATAGGTATACTGAAAATGGTGGTATATCTAGTGTTAACCATCAATTATTACAAAAAAAATTTAAACAACAAAATTATAAACTAGTAAATACCAAGCAAATTTGTCCAAAATTATTAAGAAAAGAATTAATAGAAAAGAGACGACATAATAATGAGAATGAAATAAGAAGTTTAAACCAACGATTTTTAAACTATGTTCAGCGAAAAACTAATATATATATATTTTTCGTTTACGTTTTGTAGAAAGAAAACTTTACATCTATCTTAAAACATTCTGATATAATTAAATAATGAAGTTTAAATTTAAGTTTAAAATGAAGTTACATTTTAATAATGTAATTTCAAAAATTGATCCCCTCGATTAGGAGAAGACCCTAAACGACCTAAACGCTTACGGCAAATCACACGGAAACGAAATGCAGCTGCAATACGAGTTGACCTAGGCCAGGATCGTCAACAAATCCCCTCTCCCTTCCTTTCGCACGCGGATGTACGATAATAAATATTCTTCAAGAGAGTTTTACCGGCAATGGAAGAAACGAAACAGAAGTTGGTAAGAGAGATAAGAAGGGTCGAGTTGGGTAGAGTTGGATGGCGTAGAGAAAGAGGTAGTAAAATCGCGTCTTTAAATTGATTCTACTACTCTTCTCAATCTCACTCTATCTCTTTCCAACTCGTATTCTTGACTCAAGCTAACTATTGCGCTGTTTTCTTGCCACGTGAATACTTCGTCGGCTTTTATATATCATCCTCTATGAAAAATAAAAAATGATGTAGTATAATTTGTAAAAGCAATTTTTTTATCAGTTATGTCAAAGTTTACTTCATTTATAATAAAATACTCTTTTGCAATCCAATTTATATCAATTTAAAAATTTAATATTCTTAAAATATGTTTCTGTGTACAGAAATTTTTAAATATTGTATTAAAAGAAAATATTAGTTGTTATAAATTGACAGTGAGAATATAAATACTCCAGTGACTCACTTTATTTTATAGCAAAGAAAACAGTTTCTCGTAATACAAACTTCAGAATTATCACGACACGTAAGCAAATGAGGAAAATATAAATAAATGTAGTTTTTGTTATTCAATATGTAATACTAGCGATATCGGATGATATCTCTATTGTACTTCTTATGTACAAAAATAAAAATACCGTTATCTCGTTTGCTAGAATCGATTCTATGCTATACGAAAAATCAATTGAAACTACGATTCTGCATTTAACAGCACAGCTGAATAATTAGACATATTTACCGTTAAACAAAAATTTTTTTAATCTGATGAATGAATTCTACGACGTATATGAGTGATTCTTTTGAACGACGCAAATGGTTTTTACTAGTTACAGGTTAAGTACGGCGCAATATACTTGACCCGCGTTCCTTTTTCGCGCATGCGAGACAGAAAAGTTTCCAAGTCAAAATAAGAAATGATTTTACAAAAGAGCGTATGGTTATAAATTTACATTAAGTTTGTGTATGCTCTAAAAAGATCATTTATCTCTTTTTCTTTCTATCTTTCTTTATCGAAGCAGAACACATGTATTAAGATCCTTCCATCATGTAATATAGAATAACAAAACATTCCAAATACGATAATCGATGAAAATAGAACATCAATTCATCAGCAACTTGTTATGCTTTAAAATAATAAACGAATTTAGAGTCAATTTATTTTCTTTTTTAATCAAATTCTATGAAACGAAATATTATCTGATATTGTTTCAAATTAAAGAATTAATAAGAAACTAATTAAATTTAGATCGTAATCAACTAATTACATGACCTTAACAATAAAAATGATCTCTTGATAGTTTCGGTTAAACTATTAAAATAAACTTCATTAAACTTTAAAGATAATGAAGCCTTTTAGATTACGTTAAAAACAGTTGTTCCAAATATAGATAAACAATTAATTAAAGAGAACGTATTCACAAAGAGATCTCGCATATAATTCGCACTTTAAGTCGTCAACATTTCAACAAAGCTTCTTCACACAAGTAGTAGGTAAGACTTGAAAATGAATTGACGACCTTGACTCGAATTTGCTAATCAACCAATTACCGGTACTGATTTCAACAAATTGCGTACCTAGTATATATATTTTTTTTAACAGGCATCAACGAACTGTGCGCTACTTCCTACCAACGAAGATAAAAAAAAAACAGTGAGATGCGACGAAAGGCACATGACGACCCTCCCAAGTATACCTCCTGTTGTAACCATCGAGCAATCTCAACAATCGCCTTTTTTCACCGTGGGAACGATTTCAAAGCTGATAAAAAAGACGGAAATTGAACGAAATATCACGTGTTACTCTGGACACCCGTGCATTTTTATTACTCCCTTTTCGTTTCGTTGGACCGCCAAATTTAAATATAATTTTACAAATTTAAAAGATCACAAATGAACAGAAAACATAGGACAAAAAGTTTAAGGAGAAAACATGCGTTCGTCTGTCTAACATCCATTGGTTTGACCGAAAATATTCGTTTATCGTTTGCTAAAACTAGATCATAAAGTAGTAATAGTAAAAATAATAATAATAACAATAATAATATGAAATGGAACTACTGCATAAACGATGTCATTAAGTTAATTTTAATAACTTCACGATTAAAACAATAACGAAAGATTAAGCGAAGTTTTTCAATCAAAAGAATTCTTTCAAAAAGGTACGGTTAATTCGAACTGACGAAGAAAGAAGAGATTTGGGAAGAACACTGTTATGAGGTTACGTCGTATTGCCTAATTTGTTTAGAAATAATGCACTGATCAAATTAATATGACAAGATGATATATTATGAAATAATGATGAAATGAATAATCATGAAATTGAAAACGATCTGAAAAAAGCAAAACAGACGTGTTGAAAAGTAAAGGAAGATCGTAAGTATATTATACTTATCGTATTCGATTGGACCAACTAGAGTAGCACACAATCGAAGGGGTCTGTTGGTTAAAGCAAAGAAAAAACCGGGACAGTGAGAGGAAGAAAGAAGTTACGAAAGAAAGAACGAGACGGACAATAAGAGATCAGTCGCTACTATGTTGAACGTATGTAAGCAAGTACGTCAGTAGTATTATACGTACAAACACGTAGGACTTTCGCGATCTTGTTGGAGCGAGTGAGCGTAAGAGAGAAAGATAACAAGATAGAGAGATAGCAAGATAGCGAACGACGAACGAACGAACGAACGAATGAGCGAGCGAGTGAGCAAGCGAGAGAGAGAGAGAAAGAGAAACGAAAAGAGAGGCAAAACGTCTTTCTCGTTCTCCTTGTCTTATTAGCTCAAAGGAAAAAAAGACAAGAAGAACACCGTCGTGGTAGGAGCGATCGAGTCCGTCGCTTGTCCGTTTGCTTACTCGTCGACTCGTTTCTTCTTTCGACTATAAAAGAACGAAGAGAAACGAGAAAGAGAAAGAGAACAAGAGCGACGCTACGACGGAGCCGTGGGCGAGGAAAGACCACTTTCTGCAACCAGCTGTAAGTACTTGTTGGGTCCTCTCGCTCGACATGACACGACAACGACCCGATGACGATGACGACGATGACAACGACGACGACGACGACGACCGATGAATCGAGCAAGATCGCGCGCGCTACATGGAGAGAGAGCGAGAGAGAGAGAGAAAGAGAGCGAGAGAGAACACGAGAGAGAAACGGGGATAGCAGCTGCCGCCACCCGTCGCGTCATGACGACAACGAACGGATACAACGTTAGCACGAATTGACTATCCTAGGCCACCATTTCGTTCATTTTCGAGCTAGCCAGGACATTGCGTAAAGAATGGAAAAATCGATGAACCCAGCGGTGGAAAGAGAGAGAAAGAGAGCGCACGATCGACCACCTCCTGGCGACCGTCGGCTCGTGCCCATTTTCGAACAAAAATTCCGTCGCTTAATGAATCAGCCGATTTTCCGTTTACCGATAATTCGTGTCTTTACGTTTCTCGAAAAAATCGCTACAAGGTAGCCAAAGCATGGCGATATAACTGAACGCACAATGTTCGTCCCCTCTCCACTTAAAAAAAGGCATCGCGTTACGCGACGGCCGAGCAACGTTTCCGAAGCCCGTCGGGCAGCCATCTTGAGTAGGTATGGTACGGCACGATACGATACGGCTTGTTTCTTCCTTCATTCCTTCCTTCCTTCTTTCTTTCTTTCTTTCTTTATTTATTTCTTTCCTTCTTTCTTTCTTTCTTTCTTTCCTTCGTTCTTTCCTTTCTCTTTCTATCTTTTTTCCTTCACACATTTTCGCGCGTTCTCAAATTATCAAGGAATTACGCCATTATTTTTCCTTTGGATATTTTCAGTAACTCATCTAAAACTCGAAATTCCATTTGGACGAGCATCGTCATCGTTTTCTTAGTAAATGAATATAAATAATAAAAGGATAATAATGAAAGTTAAGAAAACGATGAAGATTATACCTATAATACCAATGGAAACTCTCTCTTATGATATTACCATTTCCTTCTCTTTCTCTCTCACATATACCACACACACACCATACTCTCTTTCTCTCTCTCTCTCTCTCACTCCCGCTCCCCCCTTTTTTTCTATCTCTAAAGAGAGAAGCAAACACTTCCGACGAAAAGATCTGTGTATATTCGGAGCAATCTTTCATCTTCTCTTCCTCTCTTTCTCCTTCTCCATCATCGATTCCTCGTCTTTCTCCTCCTTCACCTCCTCCCATTCCTGGTGCTTGTACAACCGCTACTACTACCGCTTCTGTTACTCCAGCTACTGCTGTTGCTATTGCTATTGCTGTTACTGTTTCTTTACCTGGTCAGAATAGTTCCATTTATGATGTATCCAGGATAACGACGATACTCCAGGGAAAACACAATCGTTAAACACTTAATTGCGTCGACACGCGATTCGCGCTTAATCACCGATCACCAATTATCTCGCGACAACGGCGTCACATTTCACACAAATCAACAAAGGTTACCCACTTGACAAAGATGGCAGTCATCGACAGGGGTTAGATACACTACGCGCACGCGGTGAGAGCGTACTGCGCACACATTGCGCGCTCCTACGGCGCGGCAGAACGACGAACGACGTAAACGAAGCAAATAGCGAATCAAATAACGAACCCGACTCAATTGCGGACGATGAAATGCGTCCATTCACTTCGGAATATTTTTGCGCGGCACGCGACTTTGCTTCGACCAATCACCTCTTCTTAATCGATCTTTATTCGCCCATCGTTCTCTTCATCGTCTAAAAGCCCTGTTTGCTCCGCTTGGTGTTACACGTGCGTATCCCACAGCATTGCGTGCTACTACTCAAGATCCTCTTTCCCTTCTCACTCCTCAACCTGAAGACGAATCGAAAGGAAAGAGGGGGTACGAATACTCCTAAACGATATCGTACACAAAAATAAAGTGTGTTCTAAAAAAAACTAAAACGCGCCCACAACAGGCTTACCAATTTTTTACAATCGAAGATATCTAGGGAATTTTATCAAATGTTTTTACTTGCCTTACACCTGTCTCTTATAGCATCATTCTTTTTTCATATCGCTGAACTTTTAACTTTAATTGAAATATTTAGTTATGTGCTCCAATGGTGATTTTAAAACAAAGATTATCATTCGCCGTAAGAATAGGGACAAAAAGTAGAGAGTCGAACAAATTCGTTGTTAGCGATTCAACGATCAAAACGTCAATTCGTTCTTCGTTTTATACGTGTACTCGCTAGTATTTAACTAACAATAAATTTTAAGCCTCATACACAATACTCTCCGTAATCCTTCACTCCACCGACATTTTATTTTTAATAAAAAGAGGGATGTTGGTATTAGCAGCAAGTTGGCAATATCGAATGTACTGATTGGTGATAGTCGATTATATTTCATCTAGAAACGAGCCAATTATTATGCTTTGTATATGATTGTTGAAAAACTTATGAATCTATGTAAGGTTATTAAAAACATAAATCGTCTTTTCTAATTGGTCCATTTAACAATGTTTCGTTTTACGATGTCAAATAGCTTGTTTTTATCCTAAGCATTGTAAGCCTATCGGAATTATTTATTTTTTAATGTAATACTATAGACGACGTATATAGGTTAAAATTATATTCCCGCATTATGTACTCTCCAAAGGATTCAAATATTTCAATCATGTAAACCAAAACGATTATAACAGCTGCGCTTAAGTCGCACATTGAAGTCGACCAAAATGGAGCGAAAGACAAGATAAAGATATTTTACTGCACAGCAATGCTCTAAACATTGAAAAAATTATACATTACAATACTAATAAATGTGACTTATAAAAACAATTAAAATATATTATGAAATAATTAATCATCGTTTTTCTGCCAAGTAATAATAACAAATACAAGTAAAACATTATAATAATTTATGATTACAATAAAATTTTATGTAATATATAGTAACAAAATAATATAGGAATATATTAACAATACATAAAATATAAAGTAAAAAGTTATTAAGATATTTATTTAAGTACAGGATTTACAATTGCTAATAAATCTATATCCAATCAAAGTTTAAAGTCAGGTTTGCCATTGTAAGTACATCCAGATGTTTGTATGATTTGTGTGGCAGCCCAAATACCACACTTTATACATATTTCTATATCTTTCCCTTGAATAAGTTGTGCAAGAAAACCTGAAGATATCATATAAATTAAAATTACATAAAATAATAATTACATTGTAAAAATTAATAAATATCTACAACTGATATAATCTACCTCCTACGAATGCATCTCCAGCACCGTTAGTATCAATTACATTTTCTTCTGGGATTTTGGTAACAGGAAATTCTATTACTTCATTATCTTTAACTAAAATAACTGGTCCAGAACCTTGCGTAATTACGACAATACGGTTCCTCTTTTTATTTACTTTTTCCATGTGAGATATCTTCAATGCTATTTCTTTTCTGTCTGTTGTTTTAAAATCATGAGCTTTAGCAAATATATCCGCTTCTGTCTCGTTACCAAACAAAATATCTACATAAGGAAAAGCATCTCCTAATGGTTTTGTAAACAATTCAGATATAAATGGTGCACTGAGATTCATTATGAATATTTTATTGTTTTCGCATGCATGCTTAGCCACTATTTGAATTACTTCTGGATTAACGGTTAAGAAAAATCCCTGTAATATTAAAATCAAAAATCGAATTCTTTTTTAGATATGATCAATAAAAGAAAATATATAAAGTTACAAAGCACATGAAAAATGATTGTCTATATACTTACAGAAATATAAATATATTCAGCATTTTCTATAAGCTTCTTGTTTTCTGGTATTTCTATGTGCGAAGTTGAGAAACAGTTTGCAGCTGCTAAATTAGCGCACAAAGACCTTTCTTTTCCTGTGATAAGAACGGCACAAGTTCCAGTTGGTTCCTGATCCGTATATTGATAGCGAACATTTAAACCATTTGTAACAGCTCGCTCTTCTAGTATTTTTGAATATTTGTCTTTACCTACGCAACCCATGTAAGTTGCAATTTTTGACTTCTCCAAAAACCACTAAAAAATATAGATGCTGATAATAACAATAAGGCAATACTATTATAAACAATTGCTATAATACTTGTTATCTATAGAATATGAAAGAATATAAAACTAAATTTACTTGTGTTACTCTCAGTGTATTTTGTACAGAACCACCAGCGATAAAATCAGCATTATATAGCTCAATTAACTCATCGTACAGAGGTTTATGTTTTTCATCCGCAAGAATAGCATTATTGGCTTTTAAGTCATACTTCTCCAGAAAATGTTGTTCTACTGTTGCAGATATATCAAGTAGGGGATTTCCCATACCCAGGAGAAGACCTTCTCTGAAGCATTTAAGAAAATCGTTGGCACTTTCTGATATATTTTTCTATTCATCGCTTTATTATTCTCGGTCATTCGCATTATATTTTTTTGTTCTTTCATAATAGACAATAAGGTATAAAAAAATGTAAATGTTATAATTGAATGAATTGTTCGTGTTACGAATAAATAAAACAGTAATAAAGTTGTTATAAATTTCAAACGATAGCGATAAAAAATATAAACAAATATTAATAAATAAGCCTAGGTGTATCAGAATGACTGATACAGCAGATTACATAACCTATATCGTTCCTCTTTCAGAACATTACAATATGGTCAAAGTTTCACGGACCGATTGGTCAGAGTGCGTACTGCATCATCACTAGAATAATCATTCGAATGGTGAGACAGGGAACGTGAAAACGGACGATTCCTTCATTGTACCACATAGAACAAAGTTTCGTTCCGTTCGAAGCGCGCGAATGTTCATGATTCGTCACGCATGGACGAACTTAATTTCATCTCGTATAAGAAAGTTGAATGTACGAAACATAACCTCTTCAAAACGATGATTAGAAGGTAACTTGCTTATTTGCAAATAACCGAGAAAATACAAAATTAAAAAAAAAATCCTACCGTAATTTTTCTGCCATTGGAGAAGTATAAAATTTCTTGTCAGGAGTAAAAAGATTTCCGAAGAAGACACTGAGTTACTGGCGACTGCACGCCACCGTTGATGATTCGTCTGACGGCGGTGTATCCTTGCGTCAGAGCGCGTGGTCCAATGATATGGACAACTGTCGTAAGCTAAATGTAGGCAGGCACAATCGTTTAAAAAAAGATGCTATTTCATGCCGGGGCCGCGTTATCTTTAAGGTTCATCATAGTTTTATAAAATTAGACTTGGAAAATTTTCCTAAGAGAAATTAACCATTGTCAACGCAAGATGCACCAAGTCTCTCCTTTTTTCCGACAGAGTTGCGATTCTCGATTGAACTGCGGGTAATAAAGTGGAAGTGGAAGAAGTAGGGCTCTTTGAAACTCTTAAAATATCTAATACTATAGGTATATCAAATTATATAATCATGACTTTCAAGAATTTGTTATCTCCTGCATTGTTTTTTCAACGCATATCAATCAACTTCGTGTCTGAATTATGACACATTGTTTTATCTTGCGTATAAGATAGATCATTATAACGGAAAGTATAAAATTTATGCAAAATATGATAAAAATAGACTATGCTCTTAAATGGATATACATAAGCAGTAAGAGGAATCTATGGTACATGCAATTATACTTTCCCAATTTGTATATTACGTTTTTTTTGTATCATGTTAATAATAAATGTTATAATTCACATAAACGATTTTTGCGACGAGATAAAGCCGTACACATTCATTTTAAGAATTTTGCATCTCAGTTTTCAGTTAAATATTTTTTAAAGAATCGTTAAATATAATTGCATATACGCAGTTTTCATTTATAATTTTACTATAACAAATTATGTTACGTGATAACGATAAAAAAGGAATAAATAATAGAAGTTGGAAAAAAATAAGATAAATCTGATATTTTTTAATATTCAATCGATTTTTATTATTTTTAAGGGTGAGCAAGTATATCAATCCTTAATAACAAAAAAAAACATTAAATAAATGACATAATTCATATCAGTTAATAGAAAATAATTAACGTTATATTTTTTAAGTACAAATATAAATTTCACTCGAGAACCTTGTTTCCTTACCTGTCCTACTTCTACTTACCATAAAATGATTACAATTAACTAGTGATTGTTTTAGTTTCGTCACGTTTCTTAAAAAAAAAAAAAAAAAAAACAGGATACAAAAATGCTCCTAAAATATTCAATCGATGCAACACCCCACTTTCGCGTGTCAATACACATATCAAATATATCAATCGTGGACCTTCGAACATGGAATAATTGGAAAATAAACTAATAATAAGAGAGAAAAGTGTACGCGAGAGAGATAGAGAAAGAGATATAAAAAAATATCAAAAAAGAATTACTTTTATGATACCTATCAATAGAAAATGTATAAATATTATATATGTAGCGATAAATATTATCGTTAATACTTACGCGATATTTTCGTGGTAAAATAACATGATAAAAGTAGATACATCCATAATATATCGTTAGTAAGGAGATAGAGACGAGTAGTGAGAGGAAACACCTGTTGTTATCAAAATAAATATTGTCATTCTTGTTATCACCAATTTAACAGAGAGATCAAAAAGAACTTACATATATATACATTTATAAATGTTATATAAGAAAACAAATTTTTTCTTTGCATCGTACCTTAATAGGATGAGATTTGTCTATCTCTTATTTTTTCTTTCTTTTTCTCTCTCTTTCGCTCTCGCTCGTTCGCTATCTTTTTATCTTGCTATCTCTCTTTCTCTATCTTGCTTCTCTAAAGGGCATAAAAAGAAAGAGTTTTAGTGATGTAAGCTACATAAAAAGCGAACGAAGACAATTAATATCAAATAAATTCGTTTTCTTTCGATATTATAGGTGTTGAAAAAGGATAGATAGAAAGATAGATAAATAAATAGATAGATAGACAAATAGGCACGTAGACTGAGACAGACAGACAGATAGTTTAAATTATACAGTGAAAAAGAAAAAAGAAGGAAGAAATGATACTGAGGCTGGTGGAGACTTGCCTTTGTACGATGTGATATCTATGGGCACATCTTTATTCGACTGGATCTGCAAGAGCTCTGTCACCTTCGATGCCCCTCTTCAATGGAATACTGAGTCCTGGTTGACAATTACATATCGCCAAATGGGACACGTTGGACATCTCTTCCTACATGGATTTCCAGCCCAACTCCTTTGAAGTACAGTCCATAGGTTTGGTAGTAGTAGCAGTGCTATCGAGTCCTACATCACACATTATATTACAATATGCATAATAGTTCGCAACATTCCCTTTGTGGCGTGTCGTTTGCTAGCTTTTGATTTTTTTTCTGTTTATTTTTGTTCTGTTTGGTATCATTTTTCATTTTCGCTTCGTTTCGTAATATGCATTTTACCGACGACGACGACGAGGACGACGACACCCGGCGACGATGGCGGCGACGAAGGCGAGGACGAAGGCGAAGGAGGCGGCAAGAGACACGTTTCTTTCTCGTCACGCGGGTTTGGGGGTAGTAGAGCAGAGGTCGAAGTAGTAGAATAGTAATGCTTGGTAGCAATACGTCTCGGTTCTTCAGATGTTTTTTTTTTATTTTCTTTTACTTATTTTTTTTTTATATTTAGAGGAGGACATTGATGGACGATCACGCTTACATGTGTTTGTACACGTATATATATAATGTTTTTTTTTCGTTTGTTTACTTTTTCTCGCATATTGTCATCCCGATTTTACAATTCATATATCCCTTACAATCCCGCATCTCGATTTCGATCCTATGCAATTTGCTTTCTTTTCTGTTTGATTTTGTTTTCAATTTTTTTTTTTTAATTCTAAATCCTCCGGGCGTATACTTGTTATATACGTATAAAGGGAGTAGTTTTTTTTTTTGTTCTAATTCCGTCCGTTCTCGTTTCGTGTTTTTATACACACGGTATACATTATACAGTTTTTGATCTATATTTTCGTTTACTTTGTCAAGGGATTCGTAAAAGGCTGCAAGAAGTTGAGACGTATCGACCTTAGTAATATAACTATTGGCTCTGAAGTTCTCGTCTCGTTGACCTTCTCGGCACACATCCCGGGCTCACACGCATTTGAACTTGACCGGTTGCAACGGGCCGCAAAAGATGCGATGTGATTTTATCGAGATAACCAAATGTCGTAATCTTATGTCTGTACGGCTACGAGAGGCTGTGATTGGGTCACCGTAGATTTTCTATCGTCGTTAGTCCGTTACAATCGTAATCTTCGACGACTTGTATTAGCCGATTGTAATCAAATATCCGACGAGGCTGTGAAATCCATGTTCGAGTTTCTTACGACGAATAATACATATACACGTAACGAATAGAATTATAATGATACATTTTTATTAACAAACGGATTAATCTTACGAGAACTCCAGAACGATTATATACATATACATATACATATATATGCATATATTATGCAACAAGATTCTCTCTCGGAAATGCAAGGCGTATAGAAACGAATATTTGTGCCGACTAAATAATAACACACCGAACAGTTATTTAAACATTCATTGTCGTCAATGTGCGTTATCGTTCTGGTCATCGTCATTGTTGTCTCTATACGTCTCGTAGCTATTTTTCTTATTCTTTTTCACTTTTTTTTTTTTTTTTAATAGATACATTGTAGATTATATAATATTATTCTACTATTATCTCTATGCAGAAAAAAGATGTGTCTCATAGACAAAAGAACTTTTCCAATGAAGGTTTTACCATGTATATCACTAAATTTATGACATACAATGTCTATATTTTATTTAGATTTGGTATGGTAACCCTAAAAAATAGTTGACTAAGCCATTCAAAGAGATTATACTCCGTTCAATGAGTCGAGCGAGGAGGAGTTAAACAATGCACGTGATTTGAACGTGATTGGAACGTGATTGGGACAGGAGCGTATTCTCACAATCTTTAGATACTATAACAACTGGAGCAAGTTTTAATAATGATACATTTATATTCATTTCTGCATTCAATGATAATTAACTAATGTATTAATTAAAAACCCATTAATAATTGGAGTCCGTCACATTTGTCACATGTTTAACACGTGAATGTTTTGTTGTTTACCTCCTTGAACGGAGCATAAAGGAAGAAAAAAAAACAACAACGATAGAATTTTCTCTTTGGTTCAAAGTAAAATGAAAATTTAAAGCTGCCTCTTCTTTTTTCTTTCTTTTCCACGTATAGATTGACCGATCTCAGGCTGGAAAAGACCAGAATTACAGACAACAATTTTCTGGTCATGATCGAATAAGGTGTCACACGACGATCGAGTACCTCGACTTGCGTTACTGTCACGGAATCACTATATATTGTTGAGATCGTTATAATCTCTGATACAATTTTGCGTATTCGGTTGCATATTCTGTTACCGAACCGTGGTCTTGCGAGTTTTCACGGTCGTACGAAGATCAATCTTACTCAAAGACCGATCTACGTGATTCGATCTCTCTGTTTACAAGATAAACATTTCTCTAATTCCTTTACTTTTTCGCGGCTAATGACACATTTTTTCAGTGGATGCTGATTTATTTCGGCATTATGTAACACCACCGCGCCAATCGTAATTCATTAAATTGAAAATAAAAAAGAACAATGAAACTGTCAAAAATTTATTTGCAGCAAGCGAGCACATATACACGCTGAATATATTGGTTAAATATTACAAGAAAATAATATATACCACGAACGTATATATAATGACGTTTTAAATGAAATCGACATAATCGTGTAGTACCCAATATTGCAGTGATCGTTAGATTTATCTTGAAGTCTTATTGACAAGATATACTTCGATCGAAATTTTTGTTTTACTTAGCTAATGAGACATTGTGTAGAAGAGAGAAAAAGCGAGGATCGCCAAGAAATATTTTATTATAAAATTTCTAAATACGATCATAATAATAACAATAATAGTATCAGTAATAATATTGCTACTAATAATAATAATAACAACAGCAACCACAAATGAGTGATAATACTATTTTTATATTCCAATATTTTTCATCCTTGTTCTTTCCCAATTCGAAATCTATTCTTTCGATGTTTTTTTTCCGGCGAAGTTACTGACAGTAGGATACTTGATTTTAATTATTTACATTGTAACTATAAAGCATTAAAAAAAAGAAGAAAAAAAAGAAATAAATAAAAAAAAAGAATAAACGATATTGCACGTTTTTAACATTTATTAAAATAAGAAATTGTAAAACACAAGTGGTGTGTGACTGTTATTCAGATATACAAACAATCGTTTAAATCATGCATATCACGAGGAAAATAGTAAGACAATTCACTCGCTTTTCTCTTTAATACATGATGCATAATATTACAAAAAATTAGTATCCCACATCCGTATATGCGTGAAGTGACTTATTCGCATTGTATGCTACTTCATGCGCAACTACTTCATCAGCGGTGCCAATTGTTCTGAAAACATCAGATCATTCAACGAACGGTTTTACATTATACACGGATAGAATTATATTTTGACCTTTAAATTCTGCATTTACGTTTCTCGAAGGTTTTTTCCTCTTGATACGATTTGTAAAAAATGTTCCCAATTGTGTCAAAGATTCGAAAAAAAATGAGAGAACCAATACGCGAACGAAATACTGAACAATATTTTGTTGATATACATCTTACTATGAATAAAAATATGTATATACGCGTTGAAAATTTGTATTTTTTCGATCAAAGATAAAAACGCAAAAAGAAATAAAATATGTAATAAAGTTATTAAGCGATATGCTTGTTTGTTTGTATACGATTGGGGCGGTGTTTCGCTTTGACAAGAAAGAGAAAATTTGAGAAAGAAAAAGAAACAGAGAGACAGAATCCGTTAAAGTTTTCACACGTATCTAAATCGGAATACTACAGTACATCATCAATGAGAATTGCAAATAGACTAAAAAAAACGTATAACTTGTAATATATATTATATTAGAAAGCAGTTATCTTACTTATTTCAAATGTATCTAAAAATAAATAAAACAAGACGTTTAGAAAATAGCAAGCCAAAGTAATGTGTACGATAGTCGGGAAAAATAAAAGATTAGAAATGTTTTAGTAATAAAAAACACATAAGGTAAAGGTACCAGTAGTTGACCAGTTAAGACAAATTTTTATCGTAAATGGTTGTAACTTGTTGTATACTTATTATAAAGTGGGGTTCAATGAGTGAAAATGTTCTTTGAACTTCAGACATCATATAACAAAGCATATTTTTTCGAAAAGTAAAGCATGACATAAAAATTATAAAAGTTTATCGACAGGGTATCACTGCATCAGTAGTTGACCTACCGGTAAATTAAGTTTTTGAAAGTAGGATAAGAAAACAATCTGCTTAATAAATATGAAATTTATTGACAATTAAATTGTGAAAGTTTCAAAGATAAAAGTTCAAAACTTGAGAAATTAATTACTGTCAACTGCGCATGGTTTCTTAATGATGATGTTAACAAGGTTATAGTGTCGAAAAATACGACTGACATTACCAATTTTAACACTTAGCCGATCGAACGCCCCACAGAGACCTCTACAGTTTCCACCGCGCTCGGGAAAGCCAAACTGCGTTCTCCACCGTACATTTTTCTGAAGTAGTGTTCTAGAAAATAATTTTATGGCTGGCAAAGACTCCATCGGAAATCCCGAAAATAAAGAGCCGTAATAATGAGCAATGAAAGATTTCAAAAATTGGTGCATTTTATTATATGTTATA